CTCATTCGGTGTAGTTGAGAGCTACAGATGTTTTAGAACATCAGGCCTGCTAGAACACTGTTATTACCACCCTAAACATGTTTATTACCACCCTAAACATCATATCAAACACAAGCACAGATATGAAGAGTCCCAATAGGATTAAATTAAGCAGCCGTTTCCATGATAACCCTGATTAAGATTGTAATCTTTGAAGTAAATAAGCATATTAAAATAATAAAATCACTTCACATACCATTTCAGAGCTATACTCTAATGTAATCAGCGATCCAGTTCTCAGTTGCTGTTCCAGCGTTAAGCACCTCACCATTAACGAGGTCCAACAAATCATGTACAAAAACATCAAACCCTGCTTGTTTTCTCTCATACTTCTTTTTAATTATGAGAAAAACCAATTGTTATACCCTATAGGGGCAGATGATTTATCATATTCTCAATCTTCACCCGTCGCCAAGAGAAGCTGGAACCTCAGCTGAGTCTTTGTGTCCCAGAAAGCAGAAACTGAGTAGCAACAGCCAGAGTCTGCTGTCAAAGACCTTCCTAGTTAGTAAAAGAGAAGGAAACAGATATATTCCTGCCCTGCCAAGAACACTGTCATACTGCGATGCCTCTCAGTTGCACAGATTTTCTTAGTGAGAGCAAAGTAACACAATCAATTGCCTTGATCAGAAATCAGAAAAGGTTTATTGCCATTGTCAATGAACAAGCAGTTCACAAACTAGGAACTTGTTTCGGTACTAATGTGCCACATATAACATGAATAATAAATTTCAGAAATAGAATAAGTAGAATACAATATAATAAAACTAGCATAAAACATTCAGCTATAAAAAAGGCAGGTAGTGGTAACATGGCCGATAACGTGACGTAGTGTCGAGTACAGAAGACGAGCATGTTTGTGTGATTATAAGCTATTTACAAGTTTAACGGCAGATGGAAAGAAGCTGTTCTTATGGCGGGAGGTTGATGTAAAATTTGTTCCTATTCATGAAGTTTGTGTCGACTTTACATTTGATGTGAACACATAAGAAGTCTGTTCCTGTGCAAACGAGATGCATGTGGGGGTTTGCATATGTGTGTGAGCTGTTCTGCTCCACGTCTTCACAATTAAAGGCCCGATTTCCTCTAATCTGCCCCAGTGTTAATCCGGAGGGAGTGGTATTTCTCTTTAATCTGCATTTCCTAGTCTATCTTCCAAAACTCATCTCAGTGTGACTCTAAAGCGATAAATAAAATGAATATGACCACTTATGTGTGATCATAACAAAGTTCAGTGGTGAAAGTGAGGATAAATATTAATCTGTGCTGGACGGAGATCAACAGTTTTGGTCCTGCCAGGGGGGACGAGGGACAGCTGAGGCTGAATGTCCATTAGCTAAATTAAGCTTTCAGTTACAGCTCAGCTTAGAGGGAAAGGAGCTTTGGATCGGTCTGTGTGACAGAGTGTGTACATATGTGTGTATATTGTGTGTGTGTGTGTGTGTGGGGGGGGGGGGGGGGGGGGGGGTTGCCTGCCTCTCCTGAAATACATAATGGACTAAATGTGATTGCAACACTTTAATAAGATTGACTCTTTTTGCTGTGTCAGGGTGCGCCATACCATGACTTATGCAAAATGTTAAACCTTCTCCAATGTTTGCAAAGAACATTTAATGGGGAAGCATTTCAGTTCCACTGCTCTGTAAGCTTCTCTCAAACTTTTTCGACTGTAGTCGAATTTTTATTTGCTTATGTGTAGGATTGTGACATCATTAAATTAATAAGTCAGACTGAGAGATCCATAGCAAACATACAGTATTTGTCATCATATGCCTAGTATAGCGATCCGGAGTTTTCCACCTTTCAGGAATTACATGTTTATTTGTTTTTTAGAAATCCATAAAACTGATAGTCTTACCATGTTCTGTGATATAATGTAGGCCATACATCTATTTTTTGCTAACCCCTGTTCCCTAGAGCCCCATGTAATTTGAATAGACCGCTGCTCAGCATTAGCCAATAGTGTTACATCTGCTTACGTACACATCAGTCACAGAGCGTTTGTGCGTGTTAGCAAAAGTATGTAGACTGATGCAGAGGTGTGTCACGTTGAGAGGATGGTTTGGACCCAAAATGCAGTAACCCAGGACGACACGAGGCAGAAGTGGATATGAAGTAAAAATCCTTTTATTTTAGGAGGCTGGACATAAATCCAAAGGCAAATGCTGGCAAAAAAGGCAAAACAGAAGCTCTTTCATGAGCAAGATCAGGAGAACGCACGAGACGGACAAAACAACACTGACAATGACAATGGACCGACAAGACACAGACACAAGACAGGGCTTAAGTACACTGGGGCATAATGGGAGGCAGATGAGCTGCAGGTGTGTGGAGTGTGGGGGGAGGACCAGGTGAAAGCAATGACCAATCAGGGAAGAAACTAACATGACCTAAGAGTGAACCTAAAAACAGAAAAGCAACCATATAACTAAAATTCTAAAGGGAAGGAGAACTACAAAAACCGGTGGGACAAAACATATTAAAGAGACTAATAAAAATGAAAAGCTGAAACTATAAACACTGCAGAGGGGTGACTGGAGAAGACTAAAGGAACACAGGAGACACATAAACGAGATGCAGACAAAGGACACATGAGGGCGCTATGAAACACAAAAGGAGAACCTGGAAAGGGAACTGGAGGGGCTGGGGAACAAAGAGACACAGAACATGACAAGGTGGGGATATTTCTTATGGATTTATGAATAAACACAAATAGATAACAAACATGAGGCTAATTCAGGCAGGGTCTTAAAAAGTCTTAAAATGAATTCATGAATTTGGAAATAATTCTTTAAAAAGTCTTGACTTTTGATTTTTGGAGAAGTTGTGCCATATTTTGGTGCTGGAACGAATTCTCGAATGGTTCAGATCAGTAAATTTTATGGAATCATTTTACTGAGTCAAGGTTTTGTTACTGTAAATGCGTGCAGCCGGAACACGTCCTACTGGTGAACAACGTGGTCATCCAAGTGTCATGGAGGAGAAGAGAGAAACCAACAAAGACAAAACACTTTGTAAAAGACAGAAACGCTCTAAAGTCAGGGATCAACCAACAACCAGGTCGGCTAATGCTAAAGCTAGCAGGTAGCACGTTCACGTTCAGTCAAGTTGATTCAAGAAAAAATAAACATTGATGATGAAACTAAGAATAAATGAACTCCTCCTGGATTAATGCTGACCAGTACATAATTTAAAATATGGCACCATTACACTGTTACCAGTAGAAAAGAATGAATTCATTCGTGTTTCCACTACTGAACATGTTCATGAAATACTTCCATTGCTACAGATCATATGTGGATATTTTTGGTATGTTGTTTTGAGAAAAGTATTAAGTATAAACACAACCTACACTGTTACTTAAATATAGGTGAAATTTGTACAGTAAAAAGTCAATTAAATACCAGATAGAAAACTAGACAACACCAATGTAATACATATTACTGAGCCTTTTATAAAAAATAAAAAAAGTTTGACTTCTCAGACTCATAATTTTCTTGTTTTATTTCCTATTTTTAGTGGCAGGCCACAGTCTTGTTGGGACATCTTTGTCAGATGTGTGGCTCCGTCTTCATCTGAGCTGCTGAGCTGATAGGCTGGATAATTCACTGCCACTGATGACCAAAGTCGTCATTTAAATTTCTTTACTGTGTGGGCGTCGGAACGAGCCCCCGCACCATGAGAACAAACATCTCAGCTCTAAGTCTGAGTCTTAGTTCAGCAGTTCATCAAGTTCTGCGGAAACTTCTAAATTATCTGCAGATTAAAATCAGGTGTGTTAGAGCAGTGAAATAACTCAAACATGCTGGAGGGTGGCCCTTCAGAACTGGGCACCCTTGTTCTAGAACAATGCAGTTGCACCGATTAGTTTTCACACGGTTTGCTGCGGTTTTATCACCTTTTCTGAAAAGGAATCGTGAGTGGATTGGATGTGATACATTCTTCCACCTCTAGATGGTGGCCTCTGACAAAAAAAATAAAAAACTCAGGATTTTTGCTTTAAAGGAATAGATTTTCAAACTTATAATGTCATATAATAGTTAGAAATGATCAAAAATAACTAAACAGTCTCACGTTATTGCAATATTTAGTTTAGTATGTGCTGTGAAGGACTCTCGTTAGTCCATGTCCTTCAAACTGACCGAGTTCAGAAACATTGCACCGTGTTGGCGTTTTGAATATGCATGTTTGGCATGCACGGGGGGGGGGGGGGGGGTCATATAGGTGTCTGCAACATAACAGCTCATCTTTTATGTCAGAGCCAGAAGAGCTTCTGAATCTGGGAGGCTCCATTCTTCCCTGTAATCCATCTATGTGACTCTCCGGTTGGAAGGGAGTGAAGTGGGGTGGTAGGAAATCCATCACCTCATCTCCGCTTAGATCTCTCATTTGAAAAGGAAGAATGTAGAGAAGAATAAAAGAGGTAGGGCACCGAACTCTGATACCAGTGAAGACTAAATATGAATACATTCCTTTTGGGGGGAGGGAGTCTTATAAACACGTGGTTTGAAATATTGTCTTAATCTCAAAGGCACGAATGAGAAGAAAGGCAAGGTGCAGTGTTTTTCTTCTATTTCCACTCCTTAAAAGTATTTAATTCCTTCTAACCAATGACAGTTTCCTGAATTCACCCAGAACATTTCGTGAAAACAGTATCATCTCAATCTGATTGGCTGTTTTTGATTATTGGTTTTTGCAGTGATTGGCTTGCAGTAAATCTTCAGATGGTGACAAAATGATAACAAAATCATTTGTCATTTATGCAAGTTAGATTATTACTGCAAAATAAAAATATGCTTTGATTTGCAGAATAAAAAGATGTTGATGCAAATGATTGTTAAATTGTTATTGTAAATTTTAACTGTAATATTCGTAGACTTTAGGCCTTGCTGATTGCAGATGAATTTAATTACGACCCTGCAGAGGTGAACGTTTTTCAACAGTGATGTTTGTTTCTGTAGAATGGACTCAATGCATTGCACCTGGCTGCTAAAGAAGGACACACGGATTTAGTGGAGGAGTTGGTGCAGAGAGGAGCATCTGTTGACTCCTCCACAAAGGTTGGAACACACATTAACACTTACTCAAGCTTCTAAATGGTATTCTACCATAGCATTTGATATTTAGCTCTGTTAAGTTTGAGAGCATTGAAGCTGATCATAAGAATAATGTATTTTTTCTCATTACTTCATTTCATGTGCTTCACATTGCTAAGCTGAGTCCCATTCTGTCCCGCTCTGAACTTGAGACAGTTCTCCACTCCTTCATCTCCTCACGCTTAGACAACTGTAACTCTCTTTTCACGTGTCTGAGCAGAACCTCCCTGAACCGTCTACAGGTGGTTCAGAACGCCTGTGCTCGGCTTCTGACCAAGTCCTCCAAACACACCCACATCACCCCGCTTCTCCTCCAGCTTCACTGGCTGCCAGTCAACTTCAGGGTTCATTTCAAGATCCTGGTTCTGGTCTATAGGGCCTTACATGGACAAGCACCATCTTACATTGGTGATCTTCTCAGTCCCTACACCTCCAGCAGGTCCCTGAGGTCCAGCCATGGTGACTTGCAAACAAGAGCAAAGGAGTCATTCTTTTGTTTTGAAAATCTGACTCAAGTACCCAAATTAGACCACAGAATGCCATCTTTACTTCATTCTTACACCATGCATCTTTAATTAGGACAATGCCATTGTGGTAAACTAGTTAAAACCTGTGCTGGAACCAGCCACAAGGGGGCGGCCTCTTTCCCCTTCAAACTCTGTGGCAGGTGTTAGGTAATGAGATATTCTGTTGATAACTTGAAATGATGCTAAAGGGGAAGTTGTGTCATCCACAGATTAACAAATGATAACAGGAATGCACTTTTAATCATTTTTATAAAGGCATTTAAATCATTTTCACATTTCGTAAATCTCAAAAGACTAAAAGAATCACAGTGGCCATCACATCTTCAGTTGTTCTACTTCTCCACAGCAAGTCAGATTTCCAAAATTAATGTCTTCGTCTTCGTCTTCGTCTTCCTCCGCTTATCCGGGTCCGGGTCGCGGGGGCAGCATCCCAACTAGGGAGCTCCAGGCCGTCCTCTCCCCGGCCTTGTCCACCAGCTCCTCCGGCAGGACCCCAAGGCGTTACCGGACCAGATTGGAGATGTAACCTCTCCAACGTGTCCTGGGTCGACCCGGGGGCCTTCTGCCGGCAGGACATGCCCGAAACACCTCCCCGGGGAGGCGTCCAGGAGGCATCCTGACCAGATGCCCAAACCACCTCAACTGGCTCCTTTCGATCCGGAGGAGCAGCGGTTCTACTCCGAGTCCCTCCCGAATGTCCGAGCTCCTCACCCTATCTCTAAGGCTGAGCCCGGCCACCCTACGGAGGAAACTCATTTCGGCCGCTTGTATCCGCGATCTCGTTCTTTCGGTCATTACCCAAAGCTCATGACCACAGGTGAGGATTGGGACGTAGATCGACCGGTAAATCAAGAGCCTGGCTTTCTGGCTCAGCTCCCTCTTCCCCACGACAGATCGGCTCAGCGTCCGCATCACTGCAGACGCCGAACCAATCCGCCTGTCGATCTCCCGATCCCTCCTACCCTCACTCGTGAACAAGACCCCGAGATACTTAAACTCCTCCACTTGAGGTAGGACCTCTCCCCCGACCCGGAGGTGGCAAGCCACCCTTTTCCAGTCGAGAACCATGGTCTCAGATTTGGAGGTGCTGATCCTCATCCCAGCCGCTTCACATTCGGCCGCGAACCTACCCAGCAAGAGCTGAAGGTCAGAGCTGGATGAAGCTAGGAGGACCACATCATCCGCAAAAAGCAGAGACGAGATTCTCCTGCCACCAAACTCGACACACTCCACACCACGGCTGCGTCTAGAAATTCTGTCCATAAAAGTGATGAACAGAACCGGTGACAAAGGGCAGCCCTGGCGGAGTCCAACCCTCACTGGGAACAGGTCCGACTTACTACCGGCTATGCGGACCAAACTCACGCTCCTCTGGTAGAGGGACTGAATGGCCCTTAACAGAAAGCCACCCACCCCATACTCCTGGAGCGTCCCCCACAGGGTGCCCCTGGGGACACGGTCATAAGCCTTCTCCAAATCCACAAAGCACATGTGGATTGGTTGGGCAAACTCCCATTCCCCCTCCATCACCCTTGCAAAATTAATGTGAATAGCCAAATAAACCAATGATCCGAGCTGCTCTAAAGTTAGTTTTTTGTTATTGTTTTTGTAAAGAAAGGAAACACGGCTCTCCACATCGCCTCACTGGCTGGGCAAAGAGACGTAGTCAGACTGCTGGTGAACAGAGGGGCAGATATCAACTCTCAGTCACAGGTAAGTGCTACTGAAATATAATTAGTGCATATTAATGATTAAACATTTCTTTGACGTCAACTGATTTTCTTCTGTGCAGAATGGCTTTACTCCACTCTACATGGCAGCCCAGGAAAACCATTTGGAGGTGGTGCGATACCTGTTGGAGAACGAGGGGAACCAAAGTATTGCAACAGAAGTAAGTTTCAGTGTAAATTCCAGAGAAATTAGTTAAAAATATTAGAGAATTACTTTTGCTACTGCCAAAATACCATAGTTTTATTTTGTAGGAAATTACAGGAAGTGTTCCTTTTGTAAAGTTTATAATTTTATAAGAGAAGCATCCTCATGCCTCTTACCTTACTTATTCCTTCATATTTAAGTTCCTAAGGAGTCAACAAACATTTTTTACAGTTTAATTCAGAAAAGGGTGCTGAAATGTCTTCTCAATATTTTACCAGAATGAATGTGTAGTTCTGGTTTAGTTCCGCCAGAGGGCAGCATTTCACATTCCGAGTTCCTGTAAAGTCCACAAAAAAGGAGGCGACTGTGGCACAGCAGTTACGTGCTTACCCCGTAATCGGATCGTTGCAGGTTCGAGCCCCGCTCAGTCTGTCGCTGCTGTTGTGTCCTTGGGCAAGACACTTAACCCACCTTGCCTGCTGGTGGTGGTCGGAGGGACCGGCGGTGCCAGTGTATGGCAGACTCGCCTCTGTCAGAAGCCACAATGTAGCTCATCCCCACAAGGGTGTGAATGGGTGAATGACGGATTGTGTTGTAAAACACCTTGGGGGGTTCCAGGACTCTAGACAGCGCTATGTCAAATACAGGCCATCTATAAAGGCCACGAAACTCGGATGGGTTAAACACTGTCTCCACACAACTGTTGTGTTTTAAACTTATATAAGTACAGCCTTAGTTGGGTTTTTGATAATTTATGTTTAAAAATATATGAGAGTGAATAACCCAGTTGCCGTTTCCAAAATGCCATAGAGTTTTATTGTTACGTCCCCTCCTGAAGGTCTAGGAGGATGAGGGGACTAACACAAGAAAATAGGTGTAGGTGTGTAAGAGTGGATAAAGGACGAGGAGGTTTGAGTAAAAACAAAAGGATTTATTAACAAAGGGTGTCCGTGTCTGAACGGCAAAAAAAAGGCTTAACAATAATGGTGCAAAATAAGGTGGAAACTGAAAACATAAGCAGACTAACTGCTTATGAAAAGGCTTTCTGCCAAACTAAAATGACAACCACCTAAACGATAAATATCCCCGGATCAGAAGTCCTATGGGGATAAAAGAAAACCACAGAGACCAGAAACTGACGTTCAGTCAGCTACATCCTTCTAAAGAGGATAATTAAGTCAAAACCATATAGCAAACACACCACAAAAGGCTTCACCATTAGCAAGGCGTGTGAAACACTCTCAGAAGGAACCCAGGCTAATCCTAGATCCTTAGTAGAAAACCTTAAACAAATAATGAGCGAGGGAGAATCTCAGGCTACTTCTGGATCTTTAGCAACCTTAAACCCATTGGTAACGGTAGCAAAACGGGTCCGTGAGCTAGGGAGAATATCCGGCTAATCCAGGATCTCCCCGACTGTCTGCTGTGTTCCTCCTTTTAAGTCCTGGGAGCTGCTTGATGGCTGATGCAGGTCAGCTGCGGTCTTTTGCCGGCGTGCCTCTCTCCGAGGTCCTGAAAGGGCGCTGGGGCGCTGGAAGGTGTGAGCAGGCCGCTCCTGGCGCTGTCCCTGGTGCTGGATCTTTTGCAGCGGGGACAAAAGGCTCAGGTTAGGATGAGAGGATGGACCGAGGGGACGAGGGTCGTCACATTTATTTTGAAAAATAACATTTTTTACAGGGAGTATTTTTACTCCCAAGTACTTTTATAATTTTAGAAAATAAGTTTCCTCCTGCCTTTTTACTTTTACTCCTTCATAATTATGTTCCCAAGAAGACAACGACAGTTTTTAACTGGTATCTGGCTCAATGAAATGAACTGGAATTCTGCCTTCTTCCCTAAGCTTGGTTCACACACCTACATCTTGGCTTTTCTCCAGGATGGCTTCACTCCTCTCGCCATCGCCCTCCAGCAGGGCCACAACTCAGTCGTCTCCCTGCTCCTGGAGCACGACACTAAAGGGAAGGTCCGCCTGCCGGCCCTGCACATAGCAGCCCGCAAAGATGACACCAAGTCGGCCGCTCTCCTGCTTCAGAATGACCACAACGCTGATGTCCAGTCTAAGGTGAGTGAAGAGAACACGGGTCAAACTGAAGATGATTGCAGGGATTAAACAAATAAAGAGGTTGCATGAAGTCTGGAATATTTAGTGGAAAATTTCCACATTATCTAAAGAATTATTAACAAATTCATCAAGCCCTGTTCAATAAACCTTGTTGTTCTTTGTGTCTGCCTGTGTTTTATAACAGTTGTGAAGTCTTACCTTAACTGCCCTCTACCCTGTTCTCCCTTTTCTTTCCTTATGCCTCCTAACAGATGATGGTCAATAGAACCACAGAGGTATACAGACTCACCACCTCTTCATCTGATTCTACTCTGTGCCCTCTGACCATCACTTTAAGCATTTTTATCCCACCCCCACCACCACTTTAGGGATATGAGTAAATCCTGCATGTCACATTTATAAACTGTTATTATATGATTGCAAGGAGCTCACAAAGCTGTACTACACAATGCATGGCTGACTGTGAAAAACACTGTTCTATCACAAGAGATTTTATTTATGAAAAACATTTTCCTTGTTTAAATAGAGTAAAATATTTCCTTATGTTACATATTTTTAAGTAAACCCCTAATAATGCCGGGGACACACCGGCCACGGAAGCGCCGCGAAAATGGGACCACCTTCATTCGGCGCCCTTGTTAAGCTATTCTATAGACCACATGGGCCACCGAAGCGCCGCGAATCGCCTCGCGCCGGCGCTCCAGCCCACGCCGTGCAGCGATCGTTTCGGCGTCGGCTCTATTTTTTTTGCGAGCCGCGGGCGAATCGCGTCAATTCTGGCAGGAAGTCAAACCTAGACATAAGAGGCAGGCCGGTAAATTTAACAAAATAAAGCATTTCAAAATAAAATTCCGCAATAGTCAAATGTGTTCGTGATCAGACACTGCAGAAAAACCACACGAACACACACACACACACACACATCGAACTTGTGTGCATGTGTGACCACGTGAAGGGGTGTGTGGTTTTGGGTGTCTTTTCACAGGAGCAAACAGGACAGAGAGGCAGAAAGTCTGAGGCAAGCAGTTAAGATGGATGACTTTAAATTAATTATGGAAGTTGAGAAACACAAGGAGCTGTACGACCCCTGAACACGGTTATTTACGTACCCATGTCGAAAGAAACTGCTAGGATACAGCTGCAGAATTGGAGCGGGTTCCAAGAGATTCAACTGGCAGAAACAACTCATACCATAGGTACACACACACACACACACACACACACACACACACACACACACACACACACACACACACACACACACACTCAAACGTAGAGGAAAAGAACTGAGAAAAGGCAGAGAGGAAATGGAGGACACCAAGTGTTTAAAAGAAAAACTACAGCTGAGCCGAGGCGCGCCTCGACTGGGGCGCGTCTGATCTGAACTGAGGAGCGGCGAGCAGCGGCCGAATTTCGTGAGCGATTCACTTCTCGGCGCTTCCGCGGCCGGTGTGTCCCCGGCGTCAAATACATTTTATTTCTTTGTTTATGACTTTTTTTCTCTGTGACCTTACAGCATGCGTACTTTTCAGCATGTCGATGTCATGATTTTTTTTCTGAACACTTTAAGTTAACTGTGTTCTTTTAATTAAATTGCATCATGTCTATCAGAATGGGAAGGTAAGGAGTTGACTGTCCTTTGACTGTGTGATGTAGATATTATATTTCATGCATCTGTCCCAGCAGAAAGACAGATGCAAACCAAAGATGTTCACTTTGATTTTTGTTTTTTCAACACTTTGATTTCTTTTCACAAAGCACCGCTGTTTCTAGCATGGCTGACTTACAGGATTTTGCATGTGTTAGGCATTAGATTTGTTATTTTAGGATATGCTCATTTATTGTGCTTCTCATATCAACGTTTTATTTTTTCAGCATGCATTCTTCTCATCACACCACTTTAACGATGTCTTAACCGATTAAAACCTGTGTCCCACTGGGCCGCAACTGTTGGCAGCAAATTGAAAGTATCATTTGAGACAATCTCTTACATTTCTCGAAATGATCTCGAGAGTTCCCAGTTTCCTTGCATGAGATGTATTATAAGAAATTACTAAACAAAAGTATGTTTTTGCCCTTTTATAGGTGGGAACCTTCAGATGTATGAGTATACTCAAGAAAGAATCCTCCTCGAAGTACACATTTGTAAAAGAGTGGTCGATGAATTAGTCAGAAAACACCTTGATGGATAGGTGGGGGGGGGGGGGGGGATTTTTGATAGGAAACATCTGGAATGAATCAGTTTAGGTTTGTTGTAATACGAAGATACGAAGTATGTTTGATCACTGAAAAATCAAAGAATCCTAGAATCTTCTGACTAAACATTCAAAGACCAATAAGGTTGATATCCTATATTTATATTGAATATAAATCATCTTATTGGTCATAAGTAAAGGTAATATATTAAGCTTAAAAGCAACATTATTTACCCCCTCTACAAATACTATCTTGGGCAACGGGATGTTTGTAGGTATTACTGAAGAGGTTGTTTTGGGCAATATGGATATTGTTCCACTGATGACTTGTTGTGCAGCTCAAATGGGAGAAAGATCCAAAGGATGAGCTTGAGATTTAATTGGTCAGCAACACCACCCGAACTCCTCAACTTTGACTTGACGGTGGAAGGGAAATAGTAAATTTGTTGACTGATCAGAGGAACCATGCTCTCAGGGGCAATGATCGGTCTTTTCAGAGTTTAACTGAAGGATGTTATCTTCTAGCCAGCTGGTGATCGCTGATAGACACTCCAGTAGTTCAGTTAATAGAACTCAGAGTCCTTAATGCAGAATTACAGCAGAATGTCATCTGCATACAAGTGATTAAAGTCCCATTAGTCATCACACACTGGTGAAATTACATCTCCACATTTGACCCACCCCCGTGGGGAACGGTGAGCAGCAGCAGTGGCTGTGCTCGGGAACTATTTGGTGGTTTCAAATTCAATTCAATTCCAAAATACTTTATTAATCCCAGAGGGAAATTGACTGCTGTAGTAGCTCAGAATAATAATAATAATAATCAAGTCATCAAAGAGTTGTTGTATATTACAACGGCTGTTGGCAGGAAGGATCTCCAGCAACGGTCAGTGTTGCAGCCAAACTGAAGAAGCCTCTGACTGAAGACACTCTTCCGTTGTCAAACAGTCTTGTGAAGAGAATGCTCAGAGTTGTTGATTCTCTGGAGAATCCTTCTTTGCATTATCTCCTCCAGCGGTTCCACAGTCGTCCCCAGAACAGAACCAGCCTTTTTTATTAGGCTGTTGAGCCTTTTCAGGTCCCTGCTTCTGATGCTGCTACCCCAACAGACGATGGCTGAAGAGATTACACTCTCAACAACAGACTTGTAGAAGATCTGCAGCATCTTGCTACAGACATTGAAGGACCTAAGCGTCCTGAAGAAGTGAAGTCTGCTGTGTCCCTTCTTGTAAACGGCTTCGTTGTTCTTTCTCCAGTCCAGTCTGTTGTCCAGGTGAACTCCGAGGTATTTGTATTCCTCAACCACCTCCACTTCTTCTCCCATGATGGAAACAGTGACTCCACCCTGTTTCTTCTGAAGTCTAAAACCATATCCTTTGTTTTGTTCACGTTGAAGGACAGATGATTGTTTCCACACCATGCCACAAAGCGCTCCACCAGCTCTCTGTACTCAGCTTCCTGTCCATCTCTGATACACCCGACAACTGCAGAGTCATCGGAGTATTTCTGTAGATGACAGGTCTCTGATTTGTACTGGAAGTCTGAGGTGTACAGGGTGAAAAGGAATGGTGAGAGTACAGTCCCCTGTGGTGCTCCAGTGTTACTGATCACCTGGTTTGATGTGTAGTTCTTCAGCCTCACAAACTGTGGTCTGTTTGTCAGGTAGTCTTTAATCCAGGTGATAGCTGAGGCCCCCACCTGTGTCTTCTGGAGTTTCTGGCAAAGTACATCAGGCAGAATTGTGTTAAAAGCACTGGGGAAATCAAAGAACATGACCCTCACAGTGCTGCCTGCTTTGTCCAGATGACAGTGGGTTGGTTGAAGCAGCTGGATGATGGCATCTTCAACTCCATCTCCATGGCGATAAGCAAACTACAGCAGGTCCTGATATGTCCTAGTTTGCTTATTCAGGTGGACCAACAGGAGTCTCTCCAAGACCTTCATGATGTGAGATGTCAGGGCAACCGGTCTGTAGTCATCACTGACTGATGGGCGAGTTTTCTTTGGAACTGGAACAAGGCAGGATGTCTTCCACAGGACTGGAACCTTCTCCTGGGCCAGGTTGAGGTTGAAGAGGTGCTGCAGAATCCCACAGAGCTGCTCTGCACAGGCCTTCAGTACTCTGGAGCTGACACCATCTGGACCTGCAGCCTTGTTCCTATTCATTCTCACCAGCTGCCTCTTCACCTGACTTCTAGAGACAGATACAGGTGCTGGCCAGTAAATTAGAATATCATCAAAAGGTTGAAAATATTTCAGTAATTCCATTCAAAACGTGAAACTTGTACATTATATTCATGCAATGCACACAGACCAATGTATTTCCAATGTTCATTACATTTAAATTTGATATTCATAAGTGACAACTAATGAAAACTCCAAATTTGATATCTCAAAAAATTAGAATATTCTGAAAAGGCTGAATATAGAAGACACCTGCTGCCACTCTAATCAGCTGATTTACTCAAAACACCTGCAAAGGCCTTTAAAAGGTCCCTCAGTCTTGTTTTGAAGGCACCACAATCATGGGGAAGACTTCTGACTTAACAGCTGTCCAAAAGACAATCATTGACACCTTGCACAAGGAGGGCAAGACACAAAAGGTGATTGCTAAAGAAGCTGGCTGTTCGCAGAGCTCTGTGTCCAAGCACATTAACAGACAGGCGAAGGGACGGAAAAAATGTGGTAGAAAAAAGTGTACAAGCTCTAGGGATAACCGCACCCTGCAGAGAATTGTGACGACAAACCCATTCAAAAATGTGGGGGAGATCCACAAAGAGTGGACTGCAGCTGGAGTCAGCGCTTCAAGAACCACCACGAGGAGACTCATGAAAGACATGGGATTCAGGTGTCGCATTCCGTGTGTCAAGCCACTCTTGAACAAGAAACAGCGCAAGAAGCGTCTCGCCTGGGCCAAGGACAAAAAGGACTGGACTGATGCTGAGTGGTCCAAAGTTATGTTTTCTGATGAAAGCAAGTTCTGCATTTCCTTTGGAAATCAAGGACCCAGAGTCTGGAGGAAGAGCGGAGAAGCACAGAATCCACGTTGCATGAGGTCCAGTGTAAAGTTTCCACCGTCAGTGATGGTGTGGGGTGCCATGTCATCTGCCGGTGTTGGCCCACTCTGTTTCCTGAGGTCCAGGGTCAATGCAGCCGTCTACCAGGAAGTTTTAGAGCACTTCATGCTTCCTGCTACTGACCAACTTTATGGGGATGCAGACTTCACCTTTCAACAGGACTTGGCACCTGCACACAGTGCCAAAACCACCAGCACCTGGTTCAAGGACCATGGTATCCCTGTCCTTGATTGGCCAGCAAACTCGCCTGACCTTAACCCCATAGAAAATCTATGGGGTATTGTGAAGCGGAGGATGCAATACGCTAGACCCAACAATGCAGAGGAGCTGAAGACGACTATCAGAGCAACCTGGGCTCTCATAACACCTGAGCAGTGCCACAGACTGATCGAGTCCATGCCACGCCGCATTACTGCAGTTATTGAGGCAAAAGGAGCCCCGACTAAGTATTGAGTGCTATACATGCACATTCTTTTCATGTTCATTCTTTTCAGTTGGCCAACATTAGAGAAACAAACATTTTTTCATTGGCCTTTAGAATATTCTAATTTTCTGAGATACCAGATTTGATGTTTTCATTGGTTGTCACCTATAAATATCAAATTTAAATGTAATGAACATTGGAAATACATTGGTCTGTGTGCATTGCATGAATATAATGTACAAGTTTCACGTTTTGAATGGAATTACTGAAATATTTTCAACCTTTTGATGATATTCTAATTTACTGGCCAGCACCTGTAGGTGGGAGGGGGAGGTAACTGGGGCAGCAGCATCTCCTGACTTGGTTGAAGACAGATTTATAGAACAAGAGGAGTCGACTGCGTTAGAGGACAAAAAAGCTGGCATGTGACAGGAAAATGTTGGATCATGTTGGAAATGTGTGCGCATGTTGAAAATGTTTGCGCTTTGGGCTTCCTGACAGGGTTGCAGAAGGCGCTTTATAAATAAAGCTTTGATTGATTGATTGACAGAGGAGGATGGGATGACTAATTGGCTGGGGACAGGTGAGGAGGATGCTGGGTTTGTTGCTGAACTGAACCTATTGAAGAACTTGTTCAGTTCATTGGCTGTGTCCAGGCTGCCATCTGTGCAATCCTTCCTCTGCTTGAAGCCTGTGATCTTCTTCATCCCTGACCAGACATCTCTGATATTGTTCCTCTGTAGTTTGTTCTCCAGCTTCTTCCTGTATGCCTCCTTGCTGTCTCCGATCTTGATCTTCAGTTGCTTCTGTATACTCCTCAGTAATTCGCTGTCTCCCTCCTTGAAGACTCTTTTTTCCTCATTTAGCAGATTCTTCAGTTTACTGGTGATCCAGGGTTTGTTATTAGCGAAGCATCTCACTGTTCTGGTGGGTATGATGTTGTCCACACAGAAGTTTATATAGTCAGTGACACATCCAGTCATGGCATTGATGTCCTCTTCATATCCTTGGCAGAGAGTCATCCAATCTGTGGTCTCAAAACAACCCTGCAGGGCTTCTTCAGCATCCTGTGACCATTTTCTCACAGTTCTTCTTGTCACAGGTTGCCTCTGAACAAGTGGTTTGTATTCTGAGCAGAGAAAAACAAGATTGTGGTCTGAATGTCCCAGAGGAGGTCTTGTTTTGGACATGTATGCATTCTTTACATTTGCATAACACAAATCCAATGTCTTGTTTTCTCTGGTGGAGCACCTGACAAACTGTTGAAATGTTGGGAGTGTAGCAGAGAGAGAGGCATGATTAAAATCACCATATATAGCCACAAATGCATTGGGCTGCTGGGTTTGCAGCTTAGCAACAACAGAACCGATGGCATCACATGCATTTTCAGCAATGGCTGAAGGAGGAATATAAACGGTTGCCAAGACAACACTGGTGAACTCTCTTGGCAAATAATTTGGGTGACAACTTACTGCCAAGAGTTCAACATTTGGACTGCAGAGATGACATTTCACTGAAATATGACCTGGATGGCACCATCTGTTGCTGACAAGCACCGCCACTCCACCTCCTTTTCTTTTCCCACTCCTCTTCAGACCTCTGTCTGCTCGTACAGTCAGGAATCCTGGCAGAGAGACGCTGGAATCGAGGATATAGTCCTGCAGCCACGTCTCAGTGAAACACATAACACTACACTCCCGAAACTCTGGCTGAGTCCTTGAAAGGGCTTGGAGTTCATCCATCCATGTTGTTGGCCAGTGATCTCACATTGCCCATTATAATCGATGGAAGAAATGGTTTAAATTTCCTCTTTCTCCGTCTTCATTTTGCTCCCGCTCTGCACCCACGCTTCTTGTGTTTTAGCTCATTCGGGATTTGTGGCTTCAGTTGAGGTATTATTTCAGCCTTTCCAATGTTAATCAGCTGCTCCCGATTGTAAACCAGCTAGTTGCCATGGTTACACATCATAACAAATGCTCAAAAAGTGAAAAAATAGCAGTAAAAATCCTCTAAGCTTCCCAGCACCAGAAAGAGAAAAGTAAAATGTCCAGAAAAATACCGTTTTTCTTGAGAAACTAGAAGAAAAAATGTCCAAAAAACGGCCTAACTTACATATAATCAACAGAGCTACTCCAACATGCAGCCACCCAGAGCAGCGCAGTTCCGGAAAAGCCCCAGTTTAACCCCCAATCTAACCCCTTAAAGCTGAGTGTCGAGCAGGGAGGCATTGGTTCCCAGTTTTAAAGTCTTTGGTATGACCCGGGATTTGAACCCTGATCTCCCAGTACAATAATCAATTATTTGTCCAAGAAGGTTTATTATAGTAAAAACAAGAGTTGACCCACACTCTAAACCGGTCTAGAACAGTTCCAGAGATCACCGCCAAGTCGCAAAGTGTGTTAATTAGGTTCTGTGAACCACTGCATCAAAAGCTGCAGAAAGACTGTAAATTCGTCTGTGCCATCATGGTGCTGATGGAAGCCTTAAGCACAGCCATTCCTTTTGAATGCTTTTTACGAAAACCAGATTCCTCAAAATTGTTGAGTATTTCCAGGAAAGTAATTTGAATCAATTTTAGGAGGATTTGCTATATACTGGGTGGTGGGAGAGAAAAAGAGATTTCTGAACGTCACAAAATTATTAATAGAATCAAGTTAAATAGCAAAAGAACTAAGGATATTAGAGTAAATTGGAACAAGAACCAATATGGTTTGATGCCAACAACAAATTAGAATATCTTCTCTGTGTTGCCAACAGCCTCAGTTCAGTGGGATACTTCTTTACTTTGCTTATTTCCTTCCATCTTTCTCTCTTAACCCTCCTCTCATCTGTTCCATTTGTCCTTTCCTACCGTCCTGTAAAAACAGAGCGGGTTCACCCCCCTGCACATTGCTGCTCACTACGGCAACGTGAACGTCTCCACCCTGTTGCTGAATAGAGGAGCTGCTGTTGACTTCACGGCCCGGGTAGAGCCTCATTTCTACTCTAAACACACTTAACTGTTAACACTTGATTCGTTTAACCATCTGTACGATGATGCTCGCTGTACAGAATATTTGCAACTCAGCAACCATCAGTCTCAAGTGTTTTAAACGTTCTTATCTTCTTACATGTGTTTAATCACCTTCAGGAAACTAAAACATTTAAATATGTTTGAACCATAATTTTCTATTCTTGCTTTATATTAACATGGAAACTAAACATTTCAGGAAGTCATAACGATTTCTCAATGTTGGTAGGTTTTTATTTTGTTTTGTTTTTTATTGTTAGAATGGAATAACACCTCTTCATGTGGCCTCCAAGAGAGGCAACACCAATATGGTGGCTCTGCTGTTGGATCGAGGAGCCCAGATAGATGCCAAAACAAGGGTGAGACTTTTATTAGAATTTTCTTAAACAAAATCGTTTCTGCATTTTACCAAAATTATTACAAGACATTAAAATAATAGAAATAAATGAATTAAGATAGTACATTGGTTGTGGATCAGGTTTAATCAGAGGTCATTCATCTCTGCCAGTGTTACCATATGGCAAAGGTCATATCTGTGTGTGCACGTTTGTGTGTGTGTGTGTGTGTGTGTGTGTCTGTGCCATAGGATGGTCTGACTCCGCTGCACTGTGCAGCCAGAAGTGGACACGACGCATCAGTGGAGCTTCTGCTGGAAAAAGGAGCCCCAATTTTAGCAAGGACCAAGGTAGTTTATGGTTGCATTGAAACGGTCTTTTTCTACAACTAAATGAAGTGTTTACACCTTTTTGTTCTCCTCAGAATGGACTGTCCCCGCTGCACATGTCTGCCCAGGGAGACCACATTGAGTGTGTGAAACTCCTGCTGCAGCACACGGCGCCTGTTGATGACGTCACGCTCGACTATCTCACGGCGCTGCACGTTGCAGCTCACTGTGGCCATTACAGAGTCACCAAGCTGCTTCTGGACAAGAAGGCCAATCCTAACACAAGAGCTCTGGTAGGAATTCAAATACCAGATTGTCAGAGTGGTGTGATGGGATTGAAATGCTGTGCATTCTTGTTAAATTAGCTCTTGCTCTTGTCCACCAGAATGGGTTTACCCCTCTCCACATCGCCTGTAAGAAGAACCGGGTGAAGGTGATGGAGTTGTTGGTTAAATACGGTGCTTCCATCCAGGCGATCACTGAGGTTGGTGCCGTTGTGTCATACTGTTACACTCATCATCACTTTGCTCTTACCCATGATGCTTCTCCATCTTTCTCCTTCCAGTCTGGGTTGACACCCATCCACGTAGCAGCTTTCATGGGTCACCTCAACATCGTTCTGCTTTTGCTGCAGAACGGAGCCTCTCCCGATGTCCGCAACATTGTGAGTAATTAGCTCAGTTTACGTTTCTCTGGAAACTCGGTGTCCTGATGCTGATGAATATTGTTTGTTTTCACATCAGCGTGGTGAGACAGCTCTCCACATGGCAGCGCGGGCAGGGCAGATGGAAGTGGTTCGCTGTTTGTTGAGAAATGGAGCGTTGGTGGACGCCATGGCTAGGGTGAGTCATCCTCCTGTGATAACATGCATTACATGCGCTGATTTTTGGACACTTTTCCCAGGGATCGATTAAATATTGGCTTTATTTTTGTCTTCTCTCAACCACAGGAGGACCAGACTCCCCTCCACATCGCATCTCGTTTGGGGAAAACAGACATTGTCCAGCTGCTGCTGCAGCACATGGCCCATCCAGATGCTGCCACCACCAACGGCTACACTCCTCTCCACATCTCAGCCAGAGAGGGTCAGGTAGAGACCGCTGCTGTGCTTCTCGAGGCTGGAGCGTCACACTCTCTGGCCACAAAGGTGAGCAGAAGATGGTGAAGGATGTTTGCACCCAGAGACTGAACTAAACATACACATAATAAGAAGTTTGCACCTTTTGGAAAGTATAATTTGTGCATTTTCTCCTTTTTGTTCCTTAACAGAAAGGCTTTACTCCCTTACATGTAGCAGCTAAATATGGAAGCCTTGATGTAGCTAAACTTCTCCTTCAACGAAGAGCTCTACCTAATGATGCTGGGAAGGTGAACTCATTTGACATCACATCCTTTTATAGCTTGAGTACAGGAAAAACAACAAATAAATATAATAAAAAGTCACTAAAATTATGACTTTCAATAATTATGGAAGCTAAATTGTGTGAAAGTGTAATTTATATCTGATGGCTTACTCTTACAGAATGGTCTAACTCCACTACATGTAGCAGCTCACTATGACAACCAGGAGGTGGCTCTGCTGCTGCTGGATAAAGGGGCAACACCTCATGCTACTGCAAAGGTTCGTCAAATTAGTACATGTGAATAATGTCACCGATTTTAGAAAGATTTCCCAATAATAATCAGGTAACCTTCCTTCTTGTACAGAATGGCTACACTCCTCTCCACATCGCAGCCAAAAAGAACCAGAGCAACATCGCTTTAGCGCTACTGCAGTTCGAAGCAGAGACCAACGTTCTGACAAAGCAGGGGGTCAGTCCGCTGCACCTGGCGGCCCAGGAAGGGCACGCTGAGATGGTCAGCCTGCTGCTACGCAAAGGAGCCCACATCAACACCACCACCAAGGTCACAAACAAGAAGCTTCCTTATTTTAGAGTTTTACACACCCATGCCCTAAATGTTGACTTTGTACAATAAACGGTTTGTTTTGTGTTGCAGAGTGGACTGACGCCTTTGCATCTCGCAGCCCAAGAAGACAGAGTGAATGCAGCAGAAGTATTGGCGAAGCACGATGCTAATTTGGACCAGCAAACCAAAGTAGGAACACACTGCCTCACTCATCCAGTCACAAACACACTAGCAAGCTTCAATCAATCAAATCAAAGATACTTTATTAATCCCAGAGGGAAATTAGAGTTTCAGTACACACAATTCAGAGATCAGACATACATGGGCAAGACACATGACAAGAATTGGTGACTGTGGTCATTCGCAACCCTGAGTCGCGCTACCTTAATAGAGATGTGAAAAGGGTGTTACATGAGGATAATTGGGGTAAGGTAAAAAAAAAGGCATAGCAGAGTTAGACCCAGCGGGGAGTAACTCTATTATACAAAAAAACTCCTCAACATAGAAGCACGAACATCACAGATACAAAACATCAGAGTCTGATGGGGAGGCGGGGTTGGGCGGGATCCTGAATCCTCCAACGGTAGCTGCCATTACGGCACTCAGCCAGCTGCAGTCGAACAGGTGGGAGGGAGAAATGAGGGACAGAGAGCACATTGAGTTTCCTGCAGGTTGATGACCTCGAAGCTGAAGTCACAATCTGAAGGCAGGGGGGGAAGGTCGGGACACAGCATCTGTCAGCATTCCTCCCTTCGTGAGGGTGTGTTGAAGCAGCCTTGGAGGCTGCCTTGGCGTCAGATAAGGATAACAGTACTTTGTTTAGGGCAGACAGAGATAATTTTCCTCTCTGCCTTGGAGTCTATAAGTGGTCATTCATGTCCACCAGTGAAGCCAATTATACGTTCTAAACATCCCCACATCGTCCGGCGACCCTCTCCGAGATGACATCCAACTTGCGCACTAACACAGGCAACGCCGCGAGGACATTATCCAGCTTACGGTTCACCTCGAGTAACGTCCCAGTCTGTGAGGTCACCGCACGGGCGGCACATTCTGTGGGTGCGGGTCGCACTCCAATCGCTCCCGTCTTCCCATATTTCCAGAAAACCAGATATCCTCCCACTCCAATCAGAAGAAATCCAGTGCTCATCAGGCCGAATATCCAGAAATCTTCCACGTCCTCGATGGACAACTGAGAGGCACACGATTCGCCAAACCTCCCAAGAATCGAGTGCATATCCCGCTGCGAATGTCCCCTCGGGACAGGTGGGAGCCCCCTTCTCCGTTCTCATCGTAGAAAAAATCTTATCAATCGCGTTGAATGACCAGTTACTTAAGTCCATTTTCCAAAAAAGAAGAAGTGATTTCAGGAGAAATGCAGAGACGTGCTCTGTAGGCAGACAGGACAGAGAGAGCCTTGGGGAAGCAGATAAGGGAGCTGAAGAAAAAGCGTCTGTGCTCTCTGAGAGCTTGATAAGAAAAAATGGGGAGCTGGGGGATTGCTCTGCCACACACTCCCATAAACCATAATTAACATTATGTTGCTACTTTAAATAAGACATGTAATTGAAAGTATTTCTTATTTGAAGTAAAACACAAGCATCTTAGAAAAATCTGTTTGATGAATTTTGTTTAATTTTTAATAGAGGGCCTATCATCACCAATTTATTATGATTAATTAGTTGATCCCATTAAATACATTCTTAAGCCGGGCGGACACTGTGTGACTTTTTCACTCGCAGCACTCAGCTTCAGCTCAAACTGTACGACTTCCTCGCAGAGCAGATCTCACGAGTCATGCGCTCACACTGCACAACCCAGTTCTCAGATGCGACCCGACTGCTTACACTGTACGTCTGGTAGCAACATGTCGGACCTAAAAATATGCTAAAAATAGCAGTTTTTACACAACACGTCAGACTTTTTTGTCTTGTTTTGCCTGTTGTCCTTCGGGAGTGCTGCAGGAGGACACACAGGGATTTATGGGGGTTGGATGAGGAAACGAAATAAAGAAAGTAAATCTGTGTTTTGTGATCAGTTTAATTTGACATGAACACGACAAACACGCTTTCTTGACAATCTTTGTGAGTAAAAAAAAACTTGTAGAAATAAAAACGAACAACGTGTGTTATTAGGGAAATAGCGAGCGAACGGTGTTGATTCAGGATTGCGCATGCGCCGTGAGTGGTTCTGGTACTTTTTGGGTCGCAGCTGCTTGCAGCGCCGCTTCAACCGTGCGATACCCTCACGAGGGACGAGCAAAATATCAAACACGCGAAGAAGTCCGTACGAGCTCACGATTGCTGATGGGTAGCTGGTCACGTGGTGTTAATCGCCTCTCGTAACCCCCTGTACACTACACGACGCTCAGCGCAAAACTCGCCCCGATGTCGTGGATTCTCGCACGAGTGGAAAATCGGCTCAAAAAAGTGAAAAAGTCGCACAGTGTACGCCCGGCTTTAAATTGGTAAATTGATAATGATTTGTGTATTCCATGCCAACACATGGCCATGCCCCTGATGTGTGTCTTTATTATTTTTTATGACAATTTTTGGTTTGCAATCTTTATTTCTGGCCCAAGTACAGTTTATTTAATTTTGCACTTCAAATAAACAAAAAGATGGATTTTTAGGTCGATGTTAGCAATGTTCTAATCTGAAATTCTCACAATATTAAGAGTTAGATTTGTGTGTAAACATGTACACGCTTGTGCATGTACACTCACTCACTCACACACACACACACACACACACACACACCTAATGAGATATTACATGGTGGAGTTAGGGTTATTGCACTGGTGGAAATTACACATGCACCAAAAACTGATCACCATTTTAGAGGTCTTCTGTTAGTGTGTCTTTCAGTTTCTGCTTGGAACTGGAGCTTTGCAGTTGTGAGGTACTTATTTTCTAGCCAATCAGATGAAACCTTACTAAGGATAAAGTGTTTAATCATTTTTCAGCCTTATGCCAGAAGACCAATCCCCTGCCCCCTCACAGCCATCTCAGCCACCAGTGACCCAAACCTGTGAAGAGCAGCTAAATCTGGTCTTGATCTGAACTACGTGTCTTTCTCTGAGTTCTCATTTACCAAATGGCTGTCGGACTCAGCAATCTAGTGGCTTTTTGGAAGCACAACAATGTCTGAACTAACTGCATTTGCTTCACATTCGGAAGGTTTTTTGTAATTGACATGGTGTATAGCTGTTATTTTTAACAGTTAGCTATCGTAGCCCTCACTGGGTTGTGTGATTATGTTTACTGAAACCATCTCCTCTGGAGTTCTATCTGCAACAAAGAAAACACATTTCAGGCATGGCTAAAAAAAAAAACATTATTTGTCTTTTTCGCCTACTAAACTGTGCAGCTCGGATACACTCCTCTGATCGTGGCGTGTCATTATGGCAACGTGAAGATGGTTAACTTCCTGCTACAGCAAGGCGCCAGCATCAATGCTAAAACCAAGGTGGGATTAAGAATTTACTTCTGAAGCATTCAAACTCAGTTCCGTGTCATCAGACACAAACAAAATGACTTTTATGACTGGATTTGTGAAGTGATGTTCGCGCTGTTGTTTTGCAGAATGGTTACACACCTCTACATCAGGCAGCACAACAAGGGAACACACACATAATCAATGTTCTGCTGCAGCACGGGGCCAAGCCTAACATGACCACGATGGTAAGACCGACAAAGTAAACATATACGATACGTTTAAAGTGACAAAATTATGTCCTATTTTTATTCTTCCCAACCGTTTTCCTTCTGTCTGTTAGAACGGGAACACTGCGCTGTCAATTGCCAAGCGCCTGGGTTACATCTCCGTGGTGGACACACTGAAGGTCGTCACTGAAGAGGTCATCATGACCACAACGGTGAGCTGGGAAAACCTTTAAACTTCCTAATCCAACGCCAGAAAGACTGTTTTTCTCAAATAGAATTGTTTTTTTCTGTCTTTTGATTTATTCTTTTTTCTGGATTTGTGAATTTGAGACAGACGGTGACAGAAAAACACAAACTCAACGTCCCAGAGACCATGACTGAGATCCTTGACGTGTCTGATGAAGAAGGTGAGTCAGCCGTGGTCCTGGTTCATATCAAAGCTTGTTCTTTTTTGTTGTATGAAGACAAGTTAAACTTTGATAATTGTTGCTGGTCATATGGAATAAAGCAGATATGAGGGAAAAGTGATGTGGTTTTGTAGTTTCACATGTTAAAATCATGTTTTATAGCTCTGAAGGTGGAGGATGAGCCATTATCTGAAATGTCTGTGAGACTGGAAACTGCAAACTTGGTGTGCAGTGTTAATTTCCCCTGAGGGAGCTGTGAGAGTTTTGATCTTTGCCTTTGTCTTGCTGTTTTTAAACCTCAAATTAACGGGGTGTGTTTTGCTGACCTGAAACCCAGAGCCAGTGTTTCCCCTAGGAATTTTTCCAGCTGTGGCGGGCGGGGGGGAGGGGGGGGGGGGGGGGGGGGCTAAGCTGAGTCCCATTCTCCACACCTTCATCTCCTCACGCTTAAGCCGGGCAGACACTGTGCGACTTTTTCACTCGTAGCACTCAGCTTCAGCTCTAGCTGTACGACTTCCTCGCAGGGCAGATCTCACGAGTCATGCGCTCACACTGCACGACCCAGTTCTCGGATGCGACCTGACTGCTTACACTGTACGTCTGGTAGCAACACGTTGGACCTGAAAATATTCTAAAAATAGCAGTTTTTACTCAACACGTCAGACTTTTTTGTCTTGTCTTGCCTGTTGTCCTTCGGGAGTGCTGCAGGAGGACACACAGGGATTTATGGGGGTTGGATGAGGAAAACGAAATAAAGAAAGTAAATCTGTGTTTTGTGATCAGTTTAATTTGACATGAACACAACAAACACGCTTTCTTGACAATCCTTGTGAGTAAAAAAAAACGTGTAGAAACAAAAACGAACAACGTGTGTTATTAGGGAAATAGCGGGCGGGGTTGATGCATGATTGCGCATGCGCCGTGAGCGGTTCTGATACTTTTTGGGTCACAGCTGCTCGCACCACCGCTTCAACCGTGCGATACCCTCACGAGGGACGAGCAAAATATTAAACACGCCAGAAGTTTGTGCGAGCGCACAATTGCTGATGGGTAGCTGGTCACGTGGTGTTAATCACCTCTCGTAACCCCCTGTACACTACACGACGCTTGGCGCAAAACTCGCCCCGATGTCGTGGATTCTCGCACGACTGGAAAATCGGCTCAAAAAAGTGAAAAAGTCGCACAGTACAGTATTAGATCCGGTTAAAGTCAGACACGAAAAAAAATTTTTACATGAATAAGTGATGCTTATCCTGGTGGGGAGAGGAAACCCTGTCAAGATCGTCAACACTCGTTTATCTTAATGCTGTTGAAACATGTAAACCAAAAAGCATTATATCCACTGCTACCTTTCTAATTTTAAACTCAGTAACTTATGCTGTAACTGCACCTTGCCCTGCCTGTTCCTCCTTGCTGCCCGCCGGCTGTGATCACAAGCGACAACATGGTAGTTCCCGCTGCTTCTTCGGGAAACTGTGCAACTGTAGGCGTGGCGGTTGGATTTCAGCCGTGACGGCCCGCCACGGCTACGCCTATGTAAGGGAAACCCTGAGAGCTGAGAAAAACTTTTTGCCCCCCTTACAGATTTTCTCCGTTTTTAGTTTTTGACTTCATTTAAACGTTTCAAGTCAGTGAATAAAAATAAAACAGTTTCACAATGTTGTAGATTACAGTTTGCATCAGGATTCAGGGAAGTGTGTAATTCATGATGGACGAGAACTGGTTAGAACTAACTGGTTTTAATCCCTCATAGGACCTGTTGGAGTACAATAGTGGTTTTATTTTTATTTTTCCAGGTGAAGACACAATGACAGGTGATGGGGGGGAGTACCTGAGAGCGGAGGACCTGAGAGAACTGGGAGACGACTCTCTGCCAGGACAGTACCTGGACAGCTTCAGCTACATGATCCACAACCTGGACAGGTCATAAAGGAACATGGTTTTAATCCAGATTAACGTCACATTTATTGTTGATAAATGACACGTCACACAACTTAAACTGTTATGTTAGTGGGTGAAAATATGACTTCATGCAAAAGGCTGTTTGAAAATGTGGCTTTTGCAGCAGGCCTCAGGATACTCCAGTTCACCAAACCTTCCGTCAGAGAGAAGGAGTTCTCATTGAAGACATACTCACGAGCCATCAGGTGATAAAATGTCTATTCAAACTTCACTTAAACATCATTTTTGCCCTAACTGACCTTGTGTTTGTGAACCTCAGGTGTCGGCACTGTCCAGAGAACACGACAAAGAGTCTTTTCGGCTGAGCTGGGGAGCTGAACACCTCGATAACGTCGTGCTGTCCTCAACTCTGCTGCACTCTGGGTACATCAACACAAACACTCACCATCACATATTCACCACTGGACCCAGGCGTTCAGTTCGTCTTTTACACGAGAGTAGTGATCAGGAGTGATGGGTTATTCTAGCAGAATTATTTTGAAATCAAAACACTAGAAGTATAGAAAAATGGGTAAAATGAATCATTTTAAATACACACTTTTAAGGGATGTTCCACCCAAATTTAAACTGTGTCTGTTGACTTATTTCCCAGCGTTAGATAAGTGGGAAAAACAATTTTTAACCAGCCCGGTCATTCTCCTGACCCAGCCGTACTCCTTTAGCTTTAGCTTAGCATAAAACACAGTATGTGAATGGATCCAACTAGCATTGTGAGTAAAGAAGTCCTTAAATCACTTTGTAGAGATTCTAATTCTGCTTGATGACCTAAATAATCAGACTGAGAGCAAGTGAAAATAATTAGTAACATAAAGGAATCACAGACACCATTTTAGACTTGGGACTACTTTGAGACAAAGCACTGCTGTAAGCCTCCACTGAAAGGTGCAAGGCAAAAGACACCTGCTTCTGTAAACACAGATGCACACGTTGTTAGCGAACCGGCGTAAAGTACACACACACACACACACACACACATGCACGTGCACGCACGCACACACACACACAAGTTTTAGGCGCTTGCATGTTGGTTCCTGTCTGATGGGGTTGGGGATGTCATAAAGTAGTCCCAAGTCTAAAATGGCGTCTGTGATTCCTTTATGTTACCAATTATTTCTACTTGCAGTCACTCTGATTATTTAGATCACCAAGCAGAATTGGGATCACAGCTGAGTGATTTTGAGGACTTTTTTACTCACAATGCTGCATGGTGGCACCGTTTTTAGCACTGTTGCCTAGCAGCAAGAAGGTTGCAGGTTCGAAACTCTGCTGCGGCCTTTCTGCGTGGAGTTGCGTGTTCTCCCCATGCATGTGTGGGTTTCCTACGGGTACTCCGGTTTCCCCTACAGATCACAACACGCCCTATAGGTTAAAAATTGTACGTCGTTTTGGATAAAAACGTCTGCCGAATAAATAAACATAAACAATGCTAGTTGGATCCATTCACTGCTGTGTTTTATGCCAAGCTAATGCTAAAGGAGTGCTGCCAGGTTAGGAGAATGACTGAGCATGTTAAAAAATGTTTTTTTACACTTCTCTAACGCTGGGAAAAATGTCAACAGACCAAACGGTAATTGAGTTGAATATCCCTTTAAAACTTCTTCTTTGTGCACTGGAAAGCCAAAAGATCTGCATGTTGATGGTTCTTTAATGCCAAGTAAAGACAAAGTGATGGTTGGTATCGTGTGTTGTTTCTAATCACTTCCCGATTAAATCAACTCTGGTTTTTGCTCATTTTAAACTTTTGTTTCTAGTTGTTTGTACGGAGGTCAAACCTAGTTCTTCTTTTATTTTCCTCTCCTTCATGCTGTGATTTCTACTCCTCTGTTCTTCCTGCTGTGTATTCTTGTGTCTGGTCAGACTTTCCTCATTTTCACTCATTCCTTCTTCTCTCTTTCTCTTTGTGTTTGCTCTCTGGTGGCTTCCTTTGCGTTGTTTTGTCTGTGATTGTGTGTTTGTGTGTTGCTGTTTTATTCCGCTTCTAGCCGTTCCTCTCCATGCCTAGACCATGACAACAGCAGGTGATACTCTTTAATTGTACCTGTAACTGATTACCACACATGTGATTTAATAATGCTCTCATTCCCTTCCCTTTTCTCTGCATGGTTCAACAGAGCATGGTTTATTACTTATTATTACTTTCCAAAATAAAAGCTCAAACCACTTTTTTATTTTTACTGCAGATCGTCCTGCTGATGCAGTCCGAGTGTACCTTTCATATTTGTGTTTTTACTGTAATTAATATAACAATCATTTATGTGCTATGCAGAAATGTTATTTAGTCCGGTCAAACTTTTACTCAATTATTTTTTTGAAACAAACAAAATCTACTTTTCCAGGCTGTTTGAAGGCATACTGTAAGTCTTTGTTGTTCTGTTTGTTGTCCATGTTTTTAATTGTGTAATTAAAAGTCAGTTTGCTTCTTTTGCATGGAGGTTTTCAGACTGAGCAGCTTTCAGAAATGGTGCACTAACAGCTGGTTGTTTTTCTTTTAGTTTCCTGGTCAGCTTCATGGTGGATGCCAGAGGCGGAGCTATGCGGGGCTGCCGTCATAACGGCTTGCGGATCATCGTACCACCAAGAAAGTGTTCAGCGCCCACGCGGGTGACGTGCAGGCTGGTGAAGAGGCACCGTTTGGCCTCGATGCCCCCAATGGTGGAGGGTGAAGGGCTTGCTGGTCGCATCATTGAGGTGGGGCCCACTGGAGCGCAGTTCCTTGGGTAGGTGAAGGTTTCTGTGTTTCTGTGTTTGTGTGTGTGTGTTTGTAAAGAGTGGGTTTGAGCTTATGCATTTACTTAGTCGTGTGTGTTGTGTTGAAACTTTCTTCTCCACTCCCCCATCTGTGCTGCGTTGGGATCAGTAAGCTGCACCTTCCCACCGCTCCCCCCCCTCTGAATGAGGGTGAGAGCCTGGTCAGCCGTATCCTGCAGCTGGGTCCTCCAGGAACAAAGTTCCTCGGGTAGGATCATGGGAGGGGGCCACCCTGCCAGCTTGGGATCCACTCATAACCTTTCCTACTGTAGCCTAAACCATTAGGATGTATAGTTTTTCATTTTTCAACTTTTTCAATCTGAAGCCTCTTGATTTGTCATCCTTTTTTGATCCGGTATTCCCAACCATTCCTTGGTTTCCAACACAAACACCCCCAGTCCTGTTTTTTTCCTGCTCTTCTGATTTTGAAGGAATGTCATCTTTATGTTAACATTTTCTGATTCCTTTCTACCTTGCATGCAATGTTTAAGCATTTTTATGTTAATGTGGTTGCTCCCATGTTAAAGGCATACTATGCAACTTTTTTATATTATTAAATCCTTTTCTTGAGCCAGTATGTGATAAAATTTGCTACTGAAAAGTCACTCGGACCCCCACCACCCTCTGTAGCCAGAATACTGCACTTGCAACTTCTGAGTGCCGGTCCAGTCCCTGTTGGACTTTGTAAGGTGGAGCTGACATGTGGCTGCAGTCTGCTTCCATCACAATTTCTGCATATTTTAGATCATGAACACAGCTGATTTGTTTGACTTAATGATGAACCACTCCTGTAGACACTAATGAAGGCTGAGAAGACATTTTAGCTGTTAGATTAAAGGGACTTTACGGAGTTTTGAATTTTTATGCTCGCGATTGCCCCCTCAGGCCAAAAGTGTAACGGCAGCTTCAGTAGGAGGCTCGTGCACGAGGCGCGCATGCTGTATGTGCACACTCCTTAACGAAAATAACAGCTGAGACAAAGCTCTGTGAAGCTGACCCCTGTCAGCTTCACAGAGCTCTGAGAACTGACAGTCCCTTGTGTGTGTGTGTGTGTGTGTGTGTGTGTGTGTGTGTGTGTGTGTGTGTGTGTGTGTGCGTGCGTGCGTGCGTGCGTGCGTGCGTGCGTGTGTGTGTGTGTGTGTGCGTGTGTGGCCCGGAGTACAGAGGACAGGAGAACGCGCAGCTAATTAATTAAATAATTTGGTTCTGTACCTTTCTCTTCAGCACAGCCAACAAAGGTTTATGATGGGTCAGTCCTCCTGCATGCTCAGATCATTCCCTTCCCTTGCTTGAAAAATTGTTCCAAAATGAAAGTTGAACCCACATCTTTTTTATCTGTGAATTCAATGCCGTTCGGCGAGTCTAAAATAAAAATGTGGGCATCTTACTGTAAAAAAAAAATACCATTAATGTAAAATATAAACTCTAAAACAACCATGTTCACATCCAGAATCGAACTTGGGTCTCCGGCACGAAAGCCTGAAATCTTACAAGGCGAGCTAAATCACCAGTAGTGTCTTCTGTATCTGTAACATTTATATCCTTGATCGCAGCTGAAACAACGTTCAAAGAACGGTTCGGAGGGCTATGCCTGATCGTGAACGCGCATGAAGCAGCCTGCTCGGCCCGAGCATCTCTCTTTTTCTGTGATTTTACAGAAAAACAGGCAATCACAGTAAAAATGCCAGGGCTCATTCTACAGGACCAGGGCATTGCAGGAGAATGTATGAAGAAGACATTTATTATTTCTATACACGTTTTGGCCGTCAAACTTCCATAATGCCCCTTTAAGGTATTAAAATACAAAGTCACAGCAAGGAGATAGGTTTCACTTTGGTTGACTAATGGACACTAGGGGGTGCTGAAAGCAAGCCAAAACTGCATAGTATCCCTTTAACTCAACACCTGAATTTTGTGTAAGTCACATTTGGCCAACATCTGATTTATTACACTAATTTATATGAAATCTGACCTCTTAATTCCCATTTAGGCCTGTGATTGTAGAAATTCCTCACTTTGCTGCTCTGCGAGGCACAGAGCGAGAGCTTGTGATCTTGCGGAGTGAATCCGGAGAGAGCTGGAAGGAGCATCACTGTGACTTCACCGAAGAAGAGCTGAACCAGATACTCAATGGCATGGATGAAAGTGAGTTTGATTAAAACTTTAATTTCAAATGTTATGGTTTGACTGCTTAAGCGTTTGAAAAACTATAACCAAACTTACCTTAACCGCTGGATGTACTGCTTCAGCAAAACAGGTCATAGTTGCATCTTGTTCTTTTAACTTCTTGGCCAATGCAGTTGAGCATGAATTAAAAAAACTCCTAAGTGGTTACTTGATCTTTTGACCTTTAACCCTCACAGAACTTGATTCTCCTGAAGAGCTTGAGAAGAAAAGAATCTGCCGCATCATCACCAGGGACTTCCCGCAGTATTTTGCTGTTGTATCCAGGATAAAGCAGGACAGCCATCTGATTGGGCCAGAGGGTGGGGTCCTCAGTAGTAATCTTGCACCTCAGGTCCAGGCTGTCTTCCCTGAGGGTGCCCTCACTAAAAAGATCCGAGTTGGACTACAGGTACATACAGCATCATGGGCTCACAGACCAGTGGAACATTCCCAGACCATTGTTTCAAAAGTACCTATGTGTATTTATCTATAATATGGTGCATTTTCATGATTGTGTCATATTTGTATTCACAACAAAACATTTTAAGCTGTGCTAACTCAAATATGTCACATTTAGGTGTAACAGGCATATCTCGTATATAGGTCAGTATTTACAGCCTTCTGGTGCAAATAGTGGATTTCTAGGTCACTGATTGGCAGCGTTGGGCTCTGGACCCCACTGTGGGTCAAGAAACACTAGAAGCATCTACAGGGATCAAATTACCATTAGGTTTATTTAGCTTTACTTGTTACTGAAAGATTAAAATAAAAATATTATAGAAATCATTTAATGGTCAATGACTCTCTTAGTTAAACTGCTTACGTTTGCATAGTCTGCTACTTCTATGTAGGCCACAGTACACAGTCATTACCAGTGTTGCAGTATCAAACCAGTGAAAGGCTCACTACAATGACTTGTAACCAGCGTTGACCCATTTTGCGTCTGGACACAGGCTCAGCCTATTGATGCTGATTTGGTGCGAAAGATTCTTGGGAGCAAAGCGACATTCAGCCCGATTGTGACGTTAGAGCCGAGACGGAGGAAGTTCCATAAACCCATCACCATGACGATCCCCATTCCCAACTCAGACGGGCCCAGTGCTGTGTACAGTGGGGAGACCCCCACTTTACGTTTGCTGTGCAGTATTACAGGTACACATGTTGAATAATCGGGACAAATGCAGTAAACGTTAAACATGTTAGTTTCAACATCTTTGGTACGTTCTTGCTGTGTTTGACTTCTAATTCCATTTTTGGTTCTGTTTTAAAACACAGAAAAGCTTTCTCTTTACCTTGCTGACAGTTTCGTTTGCGGCTGCAAAACATCCTCAGAGCTGATGCTGATGGTGGCGTCACTTCCTACTCCGTTTATCCGCGGGCAGCAGAGGACAGAGATGTTTAAAGAAAAATACGGGCAACAAGGAACAAAGGAATTCCGCCGTGTGGAACATTTACATCAAAAACACGCACGTCTTAGGAACCACCTTCACTTAAACTTAAGATGCCAGGACGAAAACATCACGCCAACAAGCCTACAGCCGAAAACACCAATGCGAACCAAGATAGCACAGAACATAATGGAAAGAACACAGAGAGTACTACTCAAAGAAAGGATAAAAAATCTCACAACCAAACAGAAGCAAGTGGATAACGAACTGGAAAGAAGACACCTGGGCTTAAAAAGGAATTACAAACTTGATGAAAATACGGAGGAACTAACTAAAGGACACATGATGGAACAACAGGAAAAATAGTTCACTAAAGTAAAAGAAAGACACATAAAGAAGTTAAACAAACTCATCAACAAGAAAAAGAGAAAAGAAATACCAGAGAACACCACACCAAACGCATGGGTATGTAACATTTCACAATACAAACTAACAGAAGCAGAAGAGAGCATATTAAAGAAAGGTTTAAACTTTGCAGTCACACCAAAAGAAATACCATATGATGAATTCATCGTAGCAACAGAACTAGCATGTCAACAGATCACAGATGAGGGAAAGAAAGCAGAACTTAGAAATAACGTAGTTGGGATATTAAAAAACAGCCAAATTCAACACAGCAATATTACAAAAGAAGAACAATCAGCCATGACAGCTTTATCCAAAAATGAACAGATAATTATTCCACCGGCAGACAAAGGAACAACCACAGTAGTTACGGACAAATAAAAATATAAACTACAGATGAAACAGATGCTAGAGGACAAAAATACATACGAAATACTTAAAAAAGATCCAACAGAAAACATTAAGAAAACCATGAAAAAATTACTGAAGCCACTACAAAAAAAGGCAAAATAACAGAAAAAATGTACAAACACTGGATTTCTACGGCAAACATAACACCAACAATCTATGGAACTCCAAAAATACACAAACGAAATACCCCACTTAGACCAATAGTTGACAGCATAGGTACACCAACATACAACATGGCAAGAGATATCAGCTGAATCATCAGCCCGTTATTAGGAAATACAGACCAACACTGCAAAAACAGTATAGAACTGGCAAAAGAACTAAAGGAGATTACAATAGAAGACAACGACATACTCATCTCACATGACATCACATCCCTGTTCACAAAAACACCAACCCAAAAAACCATAGACATAGTAGTTAACAGAATCAGACAGGACAAGACTTAACACAAAAGAACAAACCTCACAGCAGATGACATAGCACAACTGATAGGACTGGTAGCTAACTCCACTTACTTCACATACGAACGATAACACAATATACAAACAACTGGAAGGCTTTGCCATGGGTAACCCGTCATCAGCCACCCTGTGCGAGTTTTTCATGGAAGACCTGGAACAAAAAGCCATAGCCACTGCCCCCCCCCCCCCCCCCACCACCACCACCCCCCCCCCCCCCCCCACCACCCCCGACAAATAAAACTATGGAAACGCTACGTAGACGACATGCTGGAAATCATACCAAAAGGACAAACAGAAACACTAACACAACACTTAAATAACATTGACTACACAGGTAACATAAAATTCACTTATGAGTCAGAAACAGAAGGCAGTATAGCATTTATGGACATGAAAATAAGCAGGCAGACCGACGGGACCCTAAACATAAACACATACAGGAAACCAACACACACAGACCAATATTTATTATGGACATCAGAACACCCCACCATACACAAAATGTCAGTAATCAGAACATTATATCACCGAGCAAACATGGTAACAGAAGAAAGAGACCGTAAACAAGAGGACAAACACATACAACACTCTTTAAAGACCTGCGGATACCCGACACGTGTAATAAACAAAGGAAAACAACAAACGACAGAAAGAAAAGAACAACCTAAGAAAAGAACCAGAAACCCAGAAAGACAAGAACCAAAACCAGTGATAACCCTACCATACATCAGAGGCATAACAGAAAAAATAAGAGCAACAATGAAAAAACACAACATAAACACACCAACAAAGCCATACACAACAGTTAGAAACAGACTAGTGTACCCAAAAGACAAGATACCAGCTGGACAAAAATGTGGAGTCGTTTACGAAATCCCATGCAAACTCTGCAATAAAACATACATAGGAGAAACCGGATGCCAATTCAACACACGGACAATAGAACATAGAAAGGAGTGTGAGAGAGAGGCAAGTCGAAAACACACAAGAGCAGCAAAACAAGAAGCAGAAAGTACAATAAAGAAGTCAGCCGTAACAGATCACTGCACAAGAGAAAACAATATAATGGACTGGGACAACACAAGGATCATAAACACCGAACAACAAAAATACAAAAGATGGATTAAAGAAGCTATAGAGATAAGGAGACGTGGATGTGGGACCATGAACAGAGACGATGGAGTTTACTTGTTGGATCGTGCATGGGACTGCATCATCGGAGAGGGGAGAGCGGGCAGCAGAGGGCGACAACGTCCTCTGCTGCCCGCCGATAAACGTAGTAGGAAGTGACGCGCCACCATCAGCGTCAGCTCTGAGGATATTTGCAGCCGCAAACGAAACCATCAGCAAGGTACAGAGAAACATTTCCTGTGTTTTAAAAAAGAACCAAAAATGGAATGTTAGTGTCAAGTGTTAAACATAGATCACATTCCTGCTTCACGTCTTGTGTCAATTTTTATTTTACTTTTTTTTGTGTCATTTGGCTTAAATGCATGAATGATATTTTGGAAGCCATTGTGATTTTTTTCCTTTTCTGAAAGAGGCATAAAAATGACCTCATTGATTGTAATTAGTCAGATGACGTCCGGCTATTTGTGTTTCAGGTGGAACCACCCCTGCACAATGGGAGGACATCACTGGCTCCACACCACTCACTTTTGTTAATCAGTGTGTTTCCTTCACCACGAATGTGTCAGCAAGGTAAACTTTAGTTTTACTGTGTGAAACAGGGATCTTACATCCAAAAGGCACCAAGTCAACATTTAAATCATCTTCACAGGTTCTGGCTGATAGACTGCAGGCAGACGCAGGAGTCCGTTAATTTTGGATCTCAGCTGTACAGAGAACTCATCTGTGTCCCATACATGGCTAAGTTCGTCATTTTTGCTAAGACGTTGGACCCCATTGAGGCCCGGCTGCGCTGCTTTTGCATGACAGACGACAAGATGGACAAAACCCTGGAGCAGCAAGAGAACTTCACTGAAGTGGCCCGCAGCCGAGACGTAGAGGTGCCGTGGTTTTGTGTGTGTGTGTGTGTGGGGGGGGGGGGGGGGGGGGGGGGGAATTGCTCTCTTGGACAATACATTATTACTCCCACACTGCAACTCTAGTGGAAATGCTGTGGAGTATGTTGTCCTTAAAATTGGTACTTCACAGAATTTTTTTTATTGATATTTCTGATTATAATCAGTCTTTCATGCAGGCTGAACTTGAAAATACTCTTCTACACCTATCTCCTGCATTAGCTTCTGATAGAAAATAGACGTGAATATTTAGGATTAGAAAATCCTGACAGATCTACGTCACACTGTAACTTACTGTAACATTCATGGGCTCACCCATCTTGACTTGCGACGGGGAAGGCTGTTGTTGGTTTAGCGTCCAGGAAACATCAGAGAACGTCTTGATTAGCAGATGCTAACTGTTAGCATTAGCAACTCCAAAACATGGCAGAACTCCTTCAGGCTTGTGTTACTGGTGGAGATAAAACGTCATTGTTTTATGGAGCAAACAGTAGAGCTGCTTTGCTGTTAGCCAGTCCGAGGCAAGATGTCCTAATATCAGGAAATAAGACCAAATCCTGCCGTGTTGTGTTTAGGCGCTTCTGAACTTTCCCCCCGTGCATTCGTTCCTACTACACCACTGCAAATGTACTGATTAAACAGGTGTTTCACGCCTTTAAATGGAGACTGTAATGTTTGAGATTGCCTAAACTATCAAATCCACCAACAGGTTTTGGAGGGAAAGCCTATATACGCAGACTGCTTTGGAAACCTGGTACCTCTCACCAAGAGTGGACAGCACCATGTGTTCAGCTTCTTTGCCTTCAAAGAAAATCGTCTAGCCCTCTTTATTAAAGTAGGACAAACCACAAATGAACATAATGGAAGTTTGGTTTCTTTGACTTCTTTTAAAATCAAAGTATCAATGAACAGATCAGAGATACGGCACAGGAGCCATGTGGTCGGCTGTCCTTCACCAAAGAACCGCGCACATACCGGAGTCTCAACCACAACGCCATCTGCAACCTCAACATTACTCTGCCAACTTACTCAAAGGTCAGTCTGAGTTGATCTCGTTTTGTCTTTGAACAAAACTTTGGACAACAAGTTAAGCAGCTTATTTTTGTTCTTCACTGTAGGACTCAGATTCAGAGCAAGATGGAGATGATGAGGTAGGGAAACAGTTCCACAATAAAAATGGAAAAATAAGCACAGGGAGGTTATAACTGTGACTATTTGTGTCTTGTTTCGCAGAGTGAAAAGACTGACAAGAGATGTAAGTTTTTATATTTAGCTATGCTAAATCTTATATGAATGTTTTAAAATGACAAAGGCAGTGCCTTGCTAAAGTATTCATACCACTTTCACACATTTTGACACAATAGAAACACAAATGAAATTTTTCCTTTTTTAGATTTTCTGTGATCAACACAGAACACATAATTGTGAAGTAAAACGGATGCATGATTTTTAGATTTTTAAGCAAGGAAAAATCTGAAAAGTGGCGTGCATTTGTATTCCGCCTCATTAGTCTCATAAAGACACCTGTTCTGTGAAGGCCTCAGTGTGTTTTTAGAGAATATTATTGAAGAAATAATACAAAGGTTTTTATTTGCATAAAATTTTACAAACCATGTTTTATCCTATTTCAAAATTACGTGCTACTGTGTGTTGGTTTATCACAGAAAATATCAATAAAAAACATTTAAGGTTTTGGTTGGAAGGTGTCAAAATGTGTAAAGGTTCAAGGGGTATGGATGCTTTTGCAAGGCACTGTAATCATGCAAATCTTGACTCTTCACTCTGAGACATGCATTTGGGATCAAACTAGTTTCATAAAAATCTCTAAATGTTGAATTCACATCACTTGACTGGCTGTAGATTACTGATTATTTCAAGTAAAATATGACACCCTGATGTTTTAATTCATATATATGGCTGTTCCCCCCACCTCTGACTCCACTGACCTCCTCCTTCACCCATTTATTACTGTCCACTTTATGATCATTTCAGTCTAAAGTCAAAATGGCACTTTTCCAATATTCATCATCACTACATTTGTCTTTAAAGGGGCATTATGGAAGTTTGACAGCCAACACATGTATAGAAATAATAAATGTCTTCTTCATACATTCTCCTGCAATGCCCTGGTCCTGTAGAATGAGCCCTGGCATTTTTACTGTGATTGCCTGTTTTTCTGTAAAATCACAGAAAAAGAGAGCTGCTCGGGTCGAGCAGGCTGCTTCAGGCGCGTTCACGCTCAGGCATAGCCCGTAGCATTTGCTATCCGTAGATTTATCCAATCCAATCCAATTTTATTTATAAAGTGCATTCACAAGGCATTACAACCAAACAAGGCTTAGCAGCAGAGAGTGAGGTAGTGCCAACTCAGCGACTTTGTCGCTGTTCCTAACGCCTAGTGATGAACCTAGCTACATTTCTGAGGACCCTTAGCTACTTTCTTCTAGATATTTCCTGCAAATTAGCAACAAAATAGACATTTTCACTCCGAACCGTTCTTTGAACGTTGTTTCAGCTGTCATCAAGGATATAAATGTTACAGATACAAAATACATCATTGGTGCTATATTTCACCCAGTAAACTGGCGGACTCCCGTGCGGACGACTCAAGTTCGATTCTGGATGTGAACATAATTTATTTAGAGTTTATTTTTTACATTAATGGTATATTTTTTTACAGTAAGATGCCCAAATTTTTATTTGAGACTCGCCGAACGGCATTGAATTCACAGATAAAAAAGATATGGGTTCAACTTTCATTTTGGAACAATTTTTCAAGCAAGGGAAGGGAATGATCTGAGCATTATTACCAAATTATTTAGTTAATTAGCTGCGCGTTCTCCTGTCCTCTGACCTCCGGGCCACACACACACACACACACACACACACACACACACACACACACACACACACACACACACACACGGGACTGTCTCAGCTGTTATTTTCGTTAAGGAGCGTGCACGTACAGCATGCGCGCCTCGTGCACGAGCCTACTGTTGAAGCTGCCGTTACGCTTTTGGCCTGAGGGGGCAATCACGAGCATAAAAATTCAAAACTCCGTAGAGTCCCTTTAAATCTATCTTAACTATGTGACAAACGTATTCATTTCAACCTTTTTTTTAAGTTCCCATCCTTTTTACAGTTTTACCAGTGGCATGCTACAAAGTTGCTTGTTCTTCACTGAAATGCAACCCTGAGTAAGAAAATAGTGGGATGGCATGGAAAATGTAAATAAGAAAAACATTTGATTCATTTCCACCAGTATGAACCTAAGATATCTCATTCACATTTAATTAGAACTGTTTGCACAACATTGGACAAAGTCCGTCTGACACATTCCCGAGACACCTAACAGAATAACTGATACAGGAGACATTTAAGGTCCCTCTGAACTATTTCTTAAATATCCATTAAAAAAAATTTCTGGGCAACAAGAAGGATTTATATTTCCCTTTAAATATCAAACACCATATTGGCGGAGGAAACATACAAACCTGTTTGTTCTTTGAGAAAATAAAATTTGACATATTTGTAGACCAACTGGAAACTGTTTTTGCACCCATGATCAAAATCATCAGCTATCAAAAATGGCATCACTAATGCATGTTTTATTCTTAAACTGAGCTTTTTCCAAAATAGATCTTAATTGACTTTATTTGTTTGGTACAAATGTAGTTAGTTGCATTAAAGATTAGGTTTCTTGGGTTCATACTGTCTGCAACAAGGTAAAGGTCAAAGTAAATCAACATTCTTTAAACATTTTCTGTACTTTCCCAAGAATTGAGGGTTGTAACTGGCAAACATCATCCCATTGTTTGTTCATTGTTTCCACTGTTTGCATTACTCATTGCATCGTTGTTGTTTTTAAATAATCACACAGTTTATATGTTTTAGAAGAACAATGCATTGAAGAGAAATAAAAAATTCTGTTTGATTTAAATGCTTCTTTGAGTTGTGGCTTATGTTAATTTCCCCATCATTTTTCATAATGTGTTCTGTCTATTCATGGAGATGTAAGGTCACTAAACCTTTCAATCAAATGGCATAATATACTAATTCTAACCTACAAACACTTTAGATACACTTTTGCTGGTTTTCACATTTTATAATATTGGTGACATTTTAAAGTAAGCTTACACTATTTCCTTTAACACTAAAAAAAACTGACACCAAAATCTGAATATTCCAACTCTTTAAAATACTTTTTAGTTTCTTAATTTTTCTAACTGGATTTTGTTTGCCTGCAGCTATCTTGAGCATATTTTGGTTCTTTCCTTTCTAAGTTTATCTGTTACTTTCTGTACTTTTGTATGTTTTGTTTAAGACTGCAACGAACAAAAATCAAAGAAAATATTTGATTATTTTCTTCTCCACATTTTACCTACGTTTCCTTTTGTTACTCTTCTTGGCTTTGCTTATGCTGTAGCTGCTCTTCTTCTTTTCAAAATTTTCTTGACGACTATGTCATCTTCTTTTTGACCTTCTTTTCAAGACTTCCTTATCTTGCGTCCTGTCAGCTGTCTTCTTACACTGTGATCTGAACAAGGATTTTTTCTGATGGCATTGTCTTGATGAACATTTTCTGGTGTCTCTCTTTCCCACTTCATTTGTCCCTATGTTATTTACCCCTCTTGGTTAAAAACTTTCTTTTTTTTTAATGAAGATGATGAATCAGAGTCAACTGATTACTCCATGAGAACTAGCCAACATGTTGACTTTGCAACCCTTGCAAGTCCAGACCTTCTATCAGACACGTCAGACATCCGAACCTCCGCACCTTTTCCTACAGAAGTATACGAGGAGAAAGCTAGAGCTGATGGGTTGGAGAGGTCGTCATGTGTTGGGGAAAAGCCCAACAATTGGCCTGAAGATGTTGGAGAAATCCAAAAAGATGGCATGTCTACAAGTGGACTTATGGTCAAAGACATGACAGATATGGCCTCAAAATGTAGCCCAGATACAGAACATCTGGATCAGAAAACTGCAGTGACATATAAGCATTCAGAAGATTTTGCCCAAACCAGATCTGAGCAGACTACTGTATCGCGTGATAGCAAACTCCCCCCAAATATCAAAAAGCCTATCAGGAAGAAACTCAGAGACAGAGAGCTTTCTAGGTGTAGCAGCTCTGAAGGTGAGCTAGAAAGAGCAAGTTCTGAGGAGTCTTTAGATAGTGATCCTGTTCTCAGTGGGAGTGGGCTTATAACTCATTCAAACACAGAACCTCCAGTTTCTCCTCTAATTATTGAGACACCTATAGGGTCTATAAAAGATAGGGTTAAAGCTTTCCAGACCAAGGCTGAACTGGAAGAAGCACAAAAGGTAGAAGAAGAAGGGGTACAGAACCTAACCTTGCAGTCTTCAGGTTCCTCTCTAGTTACTGATACATATACAGGGTCTGTTAAAGACAGAGTTAAAGCTTTACACACCAAGGCTGAAAAGGGAGAGATATACAAACAAGCTAAAAGTCTAAAAAATGAAGGGAAACTTTCTGTGAGCACAAAAAGGACAGAGGAAATGATGCCCGAACTTCCTAGACTTCCCAAGTCCCCTAAATCCCCAAGGTCTCAGACAGAAAGATTAGAAGAGACCATGTCAGTGATGGAGCTTTTGAAGTCATTCCAAATAGGGCAGGACCCATCAAAATGTAAATCAGGGCTTTTTGAGCACAAAGCAGAACCTTCTACTTATATAAAAACGACAACAGACTCAGCAGATTCTGAAATGACACATGAGACCGAACAGAGTCCAGAAAATGAGCTGCAATCAAAGATGCAAACAAGGAGTTCCATAATTTCCCTTCAGCACGATGGCATAAAGGCAAGTGACAAAACAAACATCAGGGACACAAATAATGCTGAAGAAGAAAGAGTTTCTGATAGGCCTTCTGCTGGAAAAACAGTCAAGTTTGCTGATACAGTTCAGTATGAAATTGTAAATTATGACACAGACAGAGATCTAACAGAGAGTCAATGGTCAGACAAGGACACTGTATCCGTCAAGGAGCGCATGAGAGTGTTTCAAACGGGGGAAGGAATCCCCAAAATTCCATCACAGAAAGTAGTTTCTCCTTGCATTTCATCACTGATACCCGAACCTCAATCTTGTGAAGAGACACAATCAGCCAAGCAAAGTTCTCCACAAGGGCTGAAATCACAAGTCCAAGATCAGAGCCTCACTGCTGTCCATCTTCAGGCAGATTCCATCATAGAAGATCGCACAGATTCAGAAGATCAAACAGCAGATCATCATTTGGGTGATTCTTCTGCAGATTCAGGTGGTTCCCTTTTGGAGACGACAGTGATGTCTACTATTAAAGTTCTAAGTGATCCTATACCAGTTGGCACTGGAGAAAGGAAACCAGAAAACCCCTCTGTGTCTGTAAAAGAGCTGATGAAAACATTTCAAACTGGTCGGGACTCCTTGAAAGCTAAATCGGATGATTTTGGGTCAGCTGGCTTGAGAGAGAACCAGCGAACTAAACATGAAGCGATCACAGTGCCTCAGAAACAAAATGATCAGGAAAAAAATGAAACTTTGGGTTCAAAGTTCCTAAATGATAGCTTAAAGGGAGAAATGGATGATGAATCCCATCAAAGTTTAGACATTACTTGTTTCACAGAAACAGCAAGACAAACCAAGAGGATTCCCTTTGATGAAGGAAAGGTTAGCCCTACGATAGAAAAGACAGAGTTGTCAGAGAAAAGTCCAGAGCAGATTAAGATGGAAGAATCCCTGCTGGGCACTATCAGGACTTCATTTGATGAAACCCAGATCAGTCCTGATCGGAGAACTTCTGAGGACTTCAGCGCTGACATAAAAGCTGAGTTGGAGGACAATCCTGAGTATCAACTATTCAGGCAGACATCAGCAGCTGCTAGTGTTAATTACCAACCATTCAGACCTGAGGATGAGATTTTGACAGATGATTCTGACACAAATCCAGTTTATATCTTCAGCCCCAGTTTTGTAAGTGACATCAGCCCTGGCAGTCCAGCGAGTTTTAAGCATGAAGGTCTTGCCGAATTGTCAGACACTAGAGCTGATGGAAGAAAGTCTTGCTCCAGTTCAGAAGAGATGGAGAAATCTAAAGGACTCACAGCACCCCACCAAATTGTCAGTCACATGTTTACTCACTCCACAAGTAAAGATGAAACATATGGCAAATTTGCACATGAAGAGACAATATATGAAGCAACTAAAGAAAATGTAACAGTTGATCATGAAACCAAACTGTTTTTTATACCAAGTGATACTGAAGAAACAGAGGTGAAGGATCCAAAACAACAAGATATGAGAGAGGAAGAGACAAAAGACAATCTGGAGACTAACATAGTAGAAGTTGAAGAATCATCACGAAGATCCGTTTTAGAGACACGGTTCCAACAAACTGTCTTTGGGAGAACGATTGATGCTAAACAGACTGAAAAATATATGTCTGAAACATTGCACCTCAGGAGTGACCTTGATGTCCATCTCAAAGAAAAGCCAGTGACAAAGATAAATTATCCAGATTCAGAAGAAGAAGAAGTTAGACTGCCAAGAGACAGTTTAAGGGATGGGACAGGTGAAGTTAAAGAACTTTCAGCTAGTCCACCTTCAGATACTCTATTTCAAAAAGTTTACATTGAAAGGCAGGTACATTCAAAACAATTGGTGACTGAGAAAAATATGTCAGGCATGTTGTCACACCTCAGTAGTGACCTTGATGAATATCACAACAAAATTCCAGAAACTAAACAGAGACATCCAAATGAAGATCTCAATGAAAGACATGATGAAGCTATATTGCCTAAAGACAGCTTAAAGGAGAGGAAAGGAAAAGAGACCAAAGACAGTCAGCACGGTGATGTAGTAGAAATTAATGAACCTGAAGTGAGTCCACCGTCTGAGACTACATTCCAACAATTTCACACTGAGAGGCAGGTAGACTTGAAACAGTCATTAACTCAGAAGAACATGTCTGGCATGTTGTCACATCTGAGTAGTGACCTTTATGAGTATCTAAAAGAAAAGCCAGTAACAACACAAAGCCCACTAGAGAAAGACTTGGTCAATGAAACATGTGAAGAAATCAAACTATCTAGAGAACGTTTAGTAGACAGGAGGGAAGAAAGGCCAAAAGAAACCTTGCAAGCTGCTGTGGGAATAATGGAGGAACCATCGTCAAATGCAGTTGTAGAGACTCAATTCCAACAAGTGTACATTGAGAGGCAGGTAGCCACAAAACAGACTGAAAAGAACATGTCTGGCATGTTGTCACATCTCAGTAGTGACCTTGAGGAACATCTCAAAGAGAAGCCAGTAACAAAACAAAGCCCACTAGAAAAAGACTTGGTCAGTGAAAGTTGTGAAGAAACCAAGTTGTCTAGAGAAAGATTAGAGGACAGAACGGAGGAAACCTTGCAAGCTGCTGTGGGAATAATGGAGGAACCATCATCAAATGCAGTTGTAGAGACTCAATTCCAACAAGTGTACATTGAGAGGCAGGAAGCCTCAAAACAGACTGAAAAGAACATGTCTGGCATGTTGTCACATCTCAGTAGTGACCTTGAGGAAGATCTCAAAGAGAAGCCAGTAACAAAACAAAGCCCATTAGAAAAAGACTTGGTCAGTGAAAGTTGTGAAGAAACCAAGTTGTCTAGAGAAAGATTAGAGGACAGAACGGAGGAAACCTTGCAAGCTGCTGTGGGAATAATGGAGGAACCATCATCAAATGCAGTTGTAGAGACTCAATTCCAACAAGTGTACATTGAGAGGCAGGAAGCCTCAAAACAGACTGAGAAGAACATGTCGGGGATGTTGTCACACCTCAATAGTAACCTTGATGTATATCTCAAAGAAATGCCAGTGACAAAACAAAGCCATTTAGATGAAGATCTAGTCGGTGAGAGCTGTGAAGATGTTAAATGGTCAAGGGACAGTTTAGATGACAGGAGGTGGGGAGAGCCTACAGAAAGCCAGCAGACTGCTAAAGTAGAAGTTGACGAATCATCACCAAACTCTGTTTTAGAGACTCCATTCCAACAAATCTATAATGAAAGGCAGGTTCACTCAAAACAAACTGAGAAGGATTTGTCTGGCATGTTGTCACATCTCAGCAGTGACCTTGAGGAATACCTCAAAGAAAATCCAGTAACAAAACAAAGCCATCAAGAGAAAGACTTGGTCAGTGAGACTTGTGAAGAAATCAGATTGTCTAGAGAAACTTTACAAGACAGGAGAGAAGAAAAGTCAAAAGAAACTTGGCAGGCTGCTGTGGGAGAAACGGAGGAACCATTGTTAAGTCCAACTTTAGAAACTCCATTCCAGCAAGTTTACATTGAGAGGCAGGTCCACTCAAAACAATCATTGACTCAGAAGAACATGTCAGGAATGTTGTCACACCTCAGTAGTGACCTTGATGGATATTTCAAAAACAAGCCAATGACCAAACAAAGCCATCCAGATGAAGATCTAGTCAGTGAGAGCTGGGAAGATGTTAAATGGTCAAGGGACAATTTAAACGGCAGGAGGTGGGAAGAGCCAACAGAAAGCCAGCGGACTGCTATAGTAGACGTTGACGAATCATCACCAAATTCAGTTATAGAGACTCCATTCCAACAAGTCTACATTGAAAGGCAGGAAACCTCCAAACAGGCTGAGAAGATTTCATCCAACATGTTGTCATATCTCAGTAGGGACCTTGAGGAATATCTCAAAGAAAAGCCAGTAACAAAACAAAGTCTTCCAGAGGAAGACTTGGTCAATGAGAGTTGTGAAGAACTCAGATTGTTTAAAGAAGGTTTGGAAGACAGGAGGGAGGAAACTTCAAAAGAATTCAGGCATGTGGTAGAAGTTGATGAATCATCATCAAATGCAGTTTTAGAGACTCCATTCCAACAAGTCTACATTGAAAGGAAGGAAGCCTCAAAAATGATTGGGAAGAACATGTCTGGCATGTTGTCACACCTCACCAGTGACCTTGAGGAACATCTCAAAGAAAAGCCAGTAAAAAAACAAAGCCATCAAGAGAAAGACTTGGTCAGTGAGGCTTGTGAAGAACTCAGATTGTCTAGAGAAACTTTAGAAGACAGAAGGGGGGAAAAGCCAAAAGAAAGTTGGCAGGCTGCTGTGGGAGAAATGGAGGAACCATTGTTAAGTCCAACGATAGAAACTCCATTCCAACAAGTTTACATTGAGAGGCAGGTCCACTCAAAACAATCATTTACTCAGAAGAACATGTCAGAGATGTTGTCACACCTCAGTTGTGACCTTGATGGATATCTTACAGAAAGACCAGTAACAAAACAAAGCCCCCTAGAGAAAGACTTGGTCAATGAAAGTTGTGAAGAACTCAAAATGTCTAGAGAACATTTAGATTACAGGAGGGAGGAAAAGCCAAAAAGACCCTTGCAGGCTTCTGTAGGAGAAATGGAGGAACCATCATCAAGTCCACCTTTAGAGACTCCATTTCAGCAAGTCTACACTGAGAGTCAGATAGCCTCTAAACAAACTGAGAAGGATTTGTCTGGCATGTTGTCACACCTCACCAGTGACCTTGAGGAATACCTCAAAGAAAATCCAGTAACAAAACAAAGCCATCAAGAGAAAGACTTGGTCAGTGAGACTTGTGAAGAAATCAGATTGTCTAGAGAAACTTTACAAGACAGGAGAGAAGAAAAGCCAAAAGAAACCTGGCAGGCTGCTGTGGGAGAAACGGAGGAACCATTGTTAAGTCCAACTTTAGAAACTCCATTCCAGCAAGTTTACATTGAGAGGCAGGTCCACTCAAAACAAACATTCACTCAGAAGAACATGTCAGGAATGTTGTCACACCTCAGTAGTGACCTTGAAGGATATTTCAAAGACAAGCCAATGACTAAACAAAGCCATCCAGATGAAGATCTAGTCAGTGAGAGCTGTGAAGATGTTAAATGGTCAAGGGACAGTTTAAATGACAGGAGGTGGGAAGAGCCAACAGAAAGCCAGCGGACTGCTATAGTAGACGTTGACGAATCATCACCAAATTCAGTTATAGAGACTCCATTCCAACAAGTCTACATTGAAAGGCAGGAAACCTCCAAACAGGCTGAGAAGATTTCATCCAACATGTTGTCATATCTCAGTAGGGACCTTGAGGAATATCTCAAAGAAAAGCCAGTAACAAAACAAAGCCTTCCAGAGGAAGACTTGGTCAATGAGAGTTGTGAAGAACTCAGATTGTTTAAAGAAGGTTTGGAAGACAGGAGGGAGGAAACTTCAAAAGAATTTGGGCATGTGGTAGAAGTTGATGAATCATCATCAAATGCAGTTTTAGAGACTCCATTCCAACAAGTCTACACTGAAAGGAAGGAAGCCTCAAAAACGATTGGGAAGAACATGTCTGGCATGCTGTCACACCTCACCAGTGACCTAGAGGAACATCTCAAAGAAAACCCAATGACAAACCCAAGCAATTCAGATGTTGACCTTATTCATGAATATTGTAAAAAGGTAACATTGACTACAAAGACTGAAAAGAATATGCATTCATTCTCTTATGATGACAGCCAGTTTGGTAGAGACCAATCATGGTTTGATGACAATAATGATCCCAGGAGAAACGTATCAGTTGAGAGTGCAGCAACCACTTCAGAAAGAGCAGCATTTCATCCTAAAGAATCTTCTGAAGGGACAGTGAACAATGCAAAGTCATTTGCAATTATACTTAATAATACAACTGATAAAGAAAATGTCAATGTGGATGCTTCTATTTCACATATAGAAACACCAGATTTGTCACAACTTCCAAATACTTGTGATGTAAAAAAACGACCAGTTGATTTAGATTACCTGAACACAGTAAGGTCTGATGACTCTGATAAAGAGTCCTGTCATCAGGATTCATTGGAGGCAAGCCCTCTCGTGGAAGATAGATCATCAGAGAAATCCCCAGATTCTATCGAGCCAAGTCCCACCAAAGAATCTCCATGTCGGGACTCTCTTGAAGGAAGTCCTACTGAAATCAAGGATCCAGAACATCAGTTGCCAGTGAAGACAGCTTTATATGAAGATTATGCTTCCCAGCTCAAAGTGTGTTTTACATATGACAAAAGCATTTACACAGATGAGTGGGATAAGGAAGAGGACAAGGTTGAGATTACACCAACAGACAAGGATTCCACAGACAGAGTTGGTGAACTCACATGCTCAAATGAAAGTCTGCGCATACTCCTCAGACAAGACTCTCTTCACACAGATGGTGAGGATGATCCCACCACTAAACAATTAACTTCAGAAGAAGAAATGTTTAAAATAGCTGTAAAAATCAAAACCTTTGAGGAGATGGAGCAGGAGTCTAGAATCAAAGGAGATAAACGTCTAGATGCTACTTCGCCAGTTGAGACATGTGATCATGAGGTTGACGACAGAGATTTAAAAGATGCACTACGGAGTTGTTCTAAAGGAGATAAAAGAGAAAGTACTAATGACCAGTGTAAGTTAATAAATGATCCATGCATTACAGAGAAGAAAGACAGTCATCTGCCTTTTGGAACTTCTCAGTCTATTGATGAATCTCTACAATTGGCTGCAGAAAACAAAAAGGAAGATGATAATGATGAGGTCTCTGTGCCTTTTTCTGCAGAAAGACAAACAGACATCTACAACGACAAGTCAGAAGTAACTGATGCTTATTATACCTGCTCGCTAACAGAGCAGCACCCTTCGCATGATGATAAAACAATTGAGCGTACATTGCCAGATGGTTTGGAGTTTGCCAGCGAACCACAGGCAGAGGAAAATTTGGCAAAGTGTGATAGTTACGGTAATGTCATCTCAGAGTCACAAGCTGGGACTGAGGAACAAATACACTTTAGTTCTGCTGAATGCCCCAAAACACCAGAAAAAGCAACACTTCAGACACCAGGCAGTGCAAGTAGCCCTAATCCATTTCAATTTCAAGAAGGGAAGCTGTTTGAAATGACTAGAGGAGGAGCTATTGACATGACAAGAAGAACTCTAGACGAAGAGGAAGGATATACATTTTTTCATGTTGGAGAAAATCTTCGAGAACATGATGAAGTTCCAGATGCATCTCAAGAAAACATTGATTCTGTTTCAGACAAAACTGTTCAAGGGACCCCTAAATCACAGCTGAATCAGAGCATCAGTGGTGCAGTTTCTAGTCGTAAACCTGAAGCTCTAAAATTCACTTGTAACAATTCAGAGCCAGATGTTAAAATTTGTTGCCCCAATGCTCCCACAAATAGTCAAGCGGAGGCTGAAAGTCTTGGAAACCTTGGTCTAGACTATCTAGAATACACAATAGCTGATCTTAAGACAGACACATTATCGGCTGGTCATGTGGTGTGTTCAGACTCCTCCTCCTCCAGTGATGATGGTGAGTTTGAGGAGGATGAAGAGCAGTGCTCAGTCGTAGAACTGACCTTTCCAGCTTCAGAGTCTGATATTCAAGCATTTCGTCACAGTTCTCCTCCGTCCCCGGTAGTGAAATCAGTGTGCACATTTGGAGAGGGCAGATTCCTGAAAGATCCACAGATATCAGAGTCTGCTCAAATCTACAGAAAAGTAGAAAAAATCTCTGTCTTCAACCGTAGGACTAGATCTGAGGCAAGCAATACAAGTAACACCACTAATAAAGTTAGGAGTTATTCTGAGAGTAGTGAACCATCTAATGTAGCTAACATTTCTCCCTCCAAAACTACTCCTGCAGTGCAAGAGGATGATACAATTCCCTCCTGTGCTCGACCTAAAAAGGACATCCAACTCTTTGACACAGTGGAAACATCTGTTAGGTCTTCTTTGGAAACTGATGATAGGAGCAGCTCTAGTCACATTAGTGTAGATTCAGTAATCTTCACATATGACATTCCAGCTTCACATAGTTCAGACTCTGATGGCAGTCAGCTGCCTGCTGTGCATCCATCTTGTGGGACAGAAGATGTGTTTGAGTCCAGGCCTGCCTGGGATGACACAGTGGAAACTCAGATGCAGAGAGTCGTTGATGGTCAATCTCCAGATGGTACATCAGGTATGGCTGGACCTACAACGGGCCTTTGCTCCACCTTCTCTTCTTAGAAACAAGATCCTTTAATCATTTTCAAATTGCAGTTCCACCATTACTCGCTTATTGCTGTTTTAATCTGACGGTTTGCATTGTCTCATCCAATACTAATTATGCTTTTATAATTCTTTTGTCCATGTGTGTTTGTGAGCATGTGGGCAGTTGTGATTTCAGTTTTGGCAGATTACTTTTGGATCAGAGTTTGTGTAAACGCAATCTCAAGATTGAATGCCTGTTAGTGTAATAACTGCAACACGTTGATGCAGGCTATTGGACTGTTGCAATAAGTACCGGTTTTACTAACGTCAATCGGCACATGTATTAACTCGTAGTAGTAAAAGCATGCTACAATAATGGTGACCAGATACATTTGTCCATGAACAAATCTACTCCACTCACCTCTAGTCCTGGTGTTATCATCCATAAACATCACATATCCACATTTAGTTTATTCCCTGTAGCATAAAGTGTTTGAGACGTTAAATTTACCATTGAAATAATAAAAATCTTTTATAATATATATACGTAGAATGTAAAAATGTTGAGTATATTTATCTTGAAACGGTTCAATTGTATTTTTGGGCTATGATGTTTGTGTTTTAGCTGACTGGCAGGATGATGCTGACAGGAAAGAGGAGACATTAGCAATAATTGCTGATCTTCTTGGATTCAGCTGGACTGGTAAGCATAAATACTTTTTTTTAAAGACTATCTGGATTTCAAACAGATTTTTAACAATTTGCATCATTTTCTATACTTTTTTTAATTGATCAAAGTACTGATCTACGAAGGTTTTATACGTATTCTAACGGAAAATTCAACAAATGTAGCATACAGTTGTTTTTGAGTCTTTTTCTGTAACACTTGTTTTGTCATTTATCACTCCAGAGCTCGCACGAGAACTAGAATTTAGTGAGGAGGACATTCAGGTTGTGAGAACAGAGAATCCTAATTCTCTGCAGGAGCAAAGCCACGCTTTGCTGCAACGTTGGGTCGAACGTGAAGGCAAACATGCCACAGGTATCTGCTCACTCATGGGACAATACATAGATACTCGGACACCTTATGTCTGCGATGCCCTAGACAGCATCGAGAAAATGTAAACATAAGTGGTACTTTTATATTACATTCTCTCAGTGAGCCTAAAACTCCAAAACATTGTTTCCACATTCTGTGGAAACCTGTATAATTATGTACTTTGATTTATTGTAATTTAATTTATTATGTAATTTGATTTATTTTATCTTTAACAGAAGATTGCCTGATAAAGAGACTGACCAAGATTAACCGGATGGACATAGTTCATCTAATTGAAACCCAGATGAACAAGTCCATTCAAGAGCAGACATCTCGGACCTACGCAGAGATAGAAAAGACGCTGGACCACAGTGAAGGTAGCAGCAGTTCTGTCTGACACCAAGCTCTATTTCTGTGCCCATTTGGATTTAACTTGTTTCTGTTTTTCAGTCTCAGTAGCTCTGTCGTCAGTGCAAGAAGACACAGACAGCCCCAGGATTGTTAGGAGGGTTGAGTCAGACCGTAAACCACCTCCGGCCGTTTCTGAAGAAGACCTCTCAGTTGCTTCCCTTCTGGACATTCCTTCGTGGGCAGAGCCTGCAGGACAAATCCACTCTGAGAGTGTACACGGAGACCTTTTGGATGAGCTTGAGATCCCACAGTAAGTCATCCGTTTAAATAGTTTTACTCCACAGATCAGCAGTGAATAAAATGGTCACAGGTATTTTCAGTCGACAGTACAACCAATTCTCTAAATAAAATCTTAAGTCACATAACTATTTTGATATTTGTCTACATAGGTTCACACACACACACACACACACACACACACACACACACATATATATATATATATAAATATATATATATATATATATATATATATATATATATATATATATATATATATATATAAGCACATTTAGTGACAACAAACTTAAATGACCTGAAATGTGTTGTTGGGTTACCAAGCTATTTCTTTTATAACTCTAGGTCTACAAAAATATAAATAACACTTATTAATATATCCATCCATTTTCATCCACTCATCCGGGGTCGGGCTGTGGGGGTCGCAGCCTAAAGCAGAGAGGCCCAGACTTCCCTTTCCCTAGCCACTTGGGCCAGCTCCTCCGGGGGAATCCCAAGGTGTTCCCTCCTCAGCCAAGAAACATAGTCCCTTCATCATGTCCCGGGTCCTTCTCCCGGCTCGACGTGAAAACCTCACCAGGCAGGCATCCTAGAGGCATCCTGACCAGATGCCCAGGTCATCTCAACTGGCTCCTCTCGACGTGGAGGAGCAGCGGGTCTACTCTGAGTCCCTCCCTGATGACCAAGGTTCTCACCCTAGAGGGAGAGCCCAGACACCCTGCGGAGAAAACTCGTTTCAGCCACACTCGTATCTGCGATCTTGTTCTTTCAGTCACTCTTTTCAATTCTATTCAGAAATACTTTATTAATCCCAGAGGGAAATTGATTGCTGTATTAGCTCAGAATAATAATAATAATAATAATAATAATAATAATAATCAAGTAATCAAAGAGTTGTTATATATTACAATGGCTGTTGGCAGGAAGGATCTCCGGTAGCAGTCAGTGTTGCAGCGAAACTGAAGAAGCCTCTGACTGAAGACACTCTTCCGTTGTCGGACAGTCTTGTGAAGAGAATGCTCAGGGTTGTTGATTCTCTGGAGAATCCTTCTTTGCATTATCTCCTCCAGTGGTTCCACAGTCGTCCCCAGAACAGAACCAGCCTTTTTTATTAGGCTGTTGAGCCTTGTCAGGTCCCTGCTTCTGATGTTACTACCCCAATAGACGATGGTTTGTTCCTGAACTGAACCTATTGAATAACTTGTTCAGTTTATTGGTTGTGTCCAGGCTGCCATCTGTGCAATCCTTCCTCTGCTTGAAGCCTGTGATCTTCTTCATCCTTGACCAGACATCTCTGATATTGTTCCTCTGTAGTATGTTCTCCAGCTTCTTCCTGTATGCCTCCTTACTGTCTCTGATCTTGATCTTCAGTTGCTTCTGTATACTCCTCAGTAATTCCCTGTCTCCCTCCTTGAAGGCTCTTTTTTCTCATTTAGCAGATTCTTCAGTTCACTGGTGATCCAGGGTTTGTTATTAGCGAAGCATCTCACTGTTCTGGTGGGTATGATGTTGTCCACACAGAAGTTTATATAGTCAGTGACACATCCAGTCATGGCATTGATGTCCTCTCCATATGCTTGGCAGAGAGCCATCCAATCTGTGGTCTCAAAACAACTCTGCAGGGCTTCTTCAGCGTCCTGTGACCATTTTCTCACAGTTCTTCTTGTCACAGGTTGCCTCTGAACAAGTGGTTTGTATTCTGAACAGAGAAAAAGAAGATTATGATCCGATTGTCCCAGAGGAGGTCTTGTTTTGGACATGTATGCATTTTTTACATTTGCATAACACAAATACAATATCTTGTTTTCTCTGGTGGTGCAGCTGGCAAACTGTTGAAATGTTGCAAGTGTAGCAGAGAGCAAGGCATGATTAAAATCACCAGATATAGCCACAAATACATTGGGCTGCTGGGTTTGTAGCTTAGCGACAACGGAACTGATGGCATCACATGCATTTTCAGCAATGGCTAAAGGTGGAATATAAACGGTTGCCAAGACAACACTGGTGAACTCTCTTGGCAAATAATATGGGCGACAACTTACTGCCAAGAGTTCAACATCTGGGCTGCAGAGACGACATTGCACTGAAACATGACCTGGATGGCACCATCTGTTGTTGACAAGCACCGCCACTCCACCTCCCCTTCTCCTCCCGCTCCTCTCCAGATCCCCGTCCACTTGCACAGTCGGGAATCCTGGCAGAGAGATGCCGGAATCGGGGATATGGTCCTGCAGCCACGTCTCACTGAAACACATAACACTACACTGCCGATACTCTGGCTGAGTCCCCGAAAGGGCCCGAAGCCCATCCATCCTGCCGGCCAGCGATCCCACACCGCCCACCACGATCGATGGAAGAGATGGTTTGAACTTCCTCCCTCTCCGCCTCCGCCCCGCTCTGCACCCACGCCTCCTGCGCCTCAGGTCATGTGGGACTTGTGGCCTCAGCCGAGGCATTATTTCAGCCTTCCCAATGTTGATCACCTGCTCCCGATAGTAAACCAGTCTGTTGCCATGGTTACGCATAATAGCAAATGCTAAAAAAGTGAGAAAATAGCAGTAAAAATCCTCCAAGCTTCACAGCACCAGAAACAGAAAAGTTAAATGTCCAAAAAAATACCTTTTTCTTGAGAAACTAGAATAAAAAATGTCCAAGAAAAGGCAAAACTTACATTTAATCAACGGAGCTACTCCAACATGCAGCCACCCAGAGCAGCGCAGTTCCGGAATGTGACCATAGGTGAGGGTAGGAAAGTAGATTGACCAGTCAATGGAGAGCTTCGACTTCTGGCTCAGCTCTCTTTTCACCACGACAGATGGGTACAACTGCAGATGCAGCACCAGTCTGCCTATTGATCTCACGCCCCATCTTTCCCTCACTCGCGAAGCAGTCTCCGAGATACTTTAACTCTTCCACTTGAGGCACCTCTTCTACGCTTTTTCAACTCATCATGTGGTCTCAAATTTAGAGGAGCTGAATAAATATCTAAATATAAAAACTTGTCTGAATATTACATTTTTTATGTTTTTCATCAGCCTATTTTTATTCATTTTTATTTAGATGGAGCATAAAAGGCATGGAAAACATTAACATGTCATGAAAAATACAGTTGAATCTAAATCAGGCAGCATTCCAATCCTGGCAACCATCTTGCAGCAACCAAAATCTTTTTTTTTTTTTGTTATGTTCTTTGTTTCTACAGTGAACTGAACACTAACCTGTGGACCCCAGAGGAAGTTAATACTCAAGAATCTGCAAGTCATTACAACTCAGATGAACAAGTAAGTACACGACTCTGCTCAAAAGAATCAGCAGCGGGGATCCGAGCAACGCAGGTGAAACTCCATCAAGCCTCCAGCTGCATTGAAGGTGATTGCATCAGGGAAGATGAAAAAGGCCAGTCACCTGAAACTCTAGAATTACATGCATCCTTCTCTGTCAGAGACTACAGGCTGAGTTTGTCTGAGTCAGACAAAGCAGACAATGACTTCAGGGAACTTTGTGATGAGTTCAGCTGTACCCCTCAGCTTGGCAAAGCCAAAGTCCATATTACAAAACACCATGATCCTACATTATCAGCTATGGCACCAGAGGAGAATCGCCCAATTGTTGCGATGACTGAAGATGACACAGATGTGTTTGAGAAAAGCAGGCTCTCTCAGAGGAGCACTGGTGCGGTTGTAGCCCAATTCCATAAGGATTCTTGTTGTCATGACAAGTTGAATCATGTTCCGCATGTGGACATTTGCTTGACACCTTTCAAGTCAAGCATGGCGAAAAAACCAGAAGTTCTAGTACGAATGGAGGGGTTTCTAGAAACCGTTCCCTTTATCGATGAAGATGATTCCCAATCAGGGGAATCTAATTTTGATTTAGCTCAGTGCAGCATGATAAAACCAGATAAAATAACTACTTTTCCACAGACTTTTACAGACTGTGGCCCTTCTCACTTGGCCCGTGACTCAACTGATAGGAATGTTAGCTTGTGTCTTAAGCCAAACACTGGTAATAACGTCATACCTGTGGCAAAGACACACTGTTTCCCAGAGCCAAATACGACATCTTCAGGGTTTTACACTGATCTCGGGACGCTAGATGGCAAAAAGATGGTTGAGCCTCCAGCTTCTTCCTTCATAGATCACTGCCCTTTGACCCCTGATTCCTTGATGTCTGAGGAACACTGCAGCCCATTTTTACCCATCAGTGATAAAGGGATAGTAAACAGCTCTACGCATAAGCTTTCATCTCCTGAATCTGTCATGTCACTTGGTGACTTCAGAGAAATGCCATCATGCACTTCAGAAGGTAAAACAAAGATTTTACCATTCCGTCTTTTGGAAAACAGTTCTGCATTTCCATCAGTGCCCAACAGATGTAATTTACCAAAAGTCGAATCGAAATACAGTGAGAAAATGCCTTCCTCTTATATACCACATGCATGTGAGCAGAAACCTTGTGATACAAGAGAATTCCCCATACCTGAGGTTTTACAGCCCTCTTGCTGTCTGCCTTGGGATAGGTATGGACCCTTAACCCCTGACTCTCAACAACCTAAACATTATCCAGCTGTGTCTGAAGTAGCAAGCTTCATGGGGAAGGGCAGAGCACTCTCACCTGTGACATCAGATGATGAGTTTTTTAGTGGCATTGTCTCTCCCGATAGAAAAACCTTCTCACCAGATTTGATTCCATCTACTCGTGGATCACAGTGGGATTCCCGACCCTTTTCACCCGATTCTCAGTCTTCTCAGTGCAGCTTTTCATTCCTTGAACTTGTCTACTCAGAACGAACCCGCTCCCAACTTAGGAGCCAATATTGTGATTATTTTTTATTGTATTCAGGAGGAGACCTAACAACACCAGCACACACGTCTGAAGGTCACAGTGTAATTATTGATGAGCGCATGTTTTCTGCCAGTTCTTTAGCTAAACAGTTAGATTATTCTGAGTACTGTTCTATGTCAAATCATGAATTCATTACAATGACTAACTGTCTCCCATCAGATTATGAGCTTTCAATTTACAAAACTGAAGAATGTGTGAATGTGGCAGATTCCACAAAACCCTTCTCACTACCATATGAGGAATGGTCAAAGGAAAAAAGCTCAGATACATCAGAAAGTCTTGTACAAATAACTGATTTGAATGATGAATCTTTTAAACATTCAGATGTCAAGGTTACACATCAGAAGCACTCTTCAACTAAAACAGCGTTTATTTTCACTTCGGAGGAAACCTCATGTCCCAAAGCAAGACAGGAGAAAACAGAATCTTACGTTACTTACTGGTGTTCTAAACTTGGGCCACAACCTTTTGAACATTTTGCATCATTAGATCAGCACGGCCATAATGCATTTAATGAAAGACGAACAGAATTGAAAGAAAACGAAAACATTATTTGTTTGAATGAGAACACACCCACATGTGGCTCTTTCTTGGATCGAAAGCAACCACAGCATTCCTTAAACGATTCTAAAGTTTCAGAAGAAGCACCTGAAGCGATGGTGTTTGAGTTGGTGAAAAGACCAAAGTACGATTTCCTTTTTCCTAATGAGGTTCAAAAAAGAGCTTCCTTTGGAAAACGAGAAGGCGTCAACGGGGACACGTTTTCAGCCCTGGAGTTTCAGACCCCAGACCGGCCCACTTAATGAATTATTATTAAAATCATGTTGGAACTTTATATGTATAGTCTACAAAAGCACACTACTCGGTAAAGCCTTGTAATTCAGTGCAAGAAAGAGTTGCTTTACAATGTAGGTTTATTTGAACATCAGTGCACATCTCCAACATTGTTCTTTACAACACATTCTCTAACAATATAACAATCTACCTTCTGTTCAAACAGCTGTTCTGAGATTTTCAAACCTTTAAAATGAAATGACTCAGCACTCCCTTTTACACTTTTTCCAGTTTCGCTAGACTCACCTGCACACAATTAAAATAATCATCTGTAAAGCTTTAGCACATTTGATATGGAAAACACATTTTTGTAACCAATTAAAATATTTTCTATGGCAAAATATGCAGGTTTATTTCATTTTACTTTCATTCTAATAGCGATCTGTTGTGGGCTTTGTGCATTTACTAATAAAAATACAACAGGTCCCTACTATTATTTGGACATTAAAATTATTATAATGAAACTAATGTTTGCTTGTTTGCACATGAGTTGGCTCACCTTCTATCCCAACAGGAGCAATACCCTCAATGCTGGCTCCTGGCTCTTCTTCTGACACTACATTGTGTGAAAATGGTCACAATTCAGCATTCATTTTCCTTTTTTACACGCTTTCTGATCAATGCTGAATCATCTAGCATTTTAGAACACTTTCATATAGAGCCAGGATAGTTTTCATCATATAAATTTTAATAATATTCAGTTCACTGACTCAATAAGTAATCCTACCTGTACATGTTCGCTTTGGAATGGTGGGTTTCTGCCTGGTGCTTATTAGGCCTACTGGATCTTGTGTTTGACTCTGAGGGGCTACAAGACAGTTTGGTGGCATCAGTCACATCATACTGTTAATTATATTACATAACGTTATGTCATGATGCCATATTATTCATTATTTATGCTTAATTAACTTGAATGGTGATTTGCAGCCGGTAAAGTTTAACATCTTGACTTGCCTTACCCGTTTTATCTTCATTTGAAGTTAAAGACCGCAAGCTTGTTTGAGAAAAAAAGGTGCTCATTTTTGCACATTTAGCTGCATCTGTTTCCAGCGCTTTCCTCTTTTTAATTCTTGCCTTCTCCGCGCCACCCTTGCTCTCTCTACTTTCCATCTTTCCGTCAACTGCGTGGTCACGTGGTGCGCACAGACGCATATAGGGGAAAAAGAAAAAAAAACGAGCTGCAACCTGCAGGTAGAGACAGCCAGAGACAGCCGGGAGGAGCGTATGAGATCAGCCCGGCGGCCTCAGTGCCATGACTGAACACCGGCACCAAAAAATAAAAATAAAATGATAAAAAACAAAAACGAGAGCACCGGCCCATGCGGCCCAAACATCGCGCGGCCCACCGGGAATTCTCCAGACCCTCCCGATTAGCCACTCCGGGCCTGGGCGTCAAAGAAGGAGATAGACTTTTTAAAGTTGGCAAACAGACTGAAAAATGTAACAAAAAACTGGATTCAGCTGATTCCCTTCCTGCAGGGTTTAAGACGTCGACACTTGAGACGGGGACGTAGGCACTTGCGGGGACACTTGAGACGGGGACTTAGGCGTAGACATAGGCACTTGCTGGGACAGTTGAGACGGGGACGTTGACACTTGCGGGGACACTTGAGACGGGAACGTCGACACTTGAGACGGGGATGTCGGCACTTGCGGGGACACTTGAGACAGGAACGTCGGCACTTGCGGGGACACTTGAGACGGGAACGTCGACACTTGAGACGGGGACGTCGGCACTTGAGACGGGGACGTCGGCACTTGCGGGGACACTTGAGACGGGAACGTCGACACTTGCAGGGATGCTTGAGACGGGAACGTCGACACTTGAGACGGGGATGTCGGCACTTGCGGGGACACTTGAGACGGGGACGTCGGCACTTGCAGGGATGCTTGAGACGGGAACGTCGACACTTGCAGGGATGCTTGAGACGGGAACGTCGACACTTGAGACGGGGATGTCGGCACTTGCGGGGACACTTGAGACAGGAACGTCGGCACTTGCGGGGACACTTGAGACGGGAACGTCGACACTTGAGACGGGGACGTCGGCACTTGAGCCGGGGACGTCGGCACTTGCGGGGACACTTGAGACGGGAACGTCTACACTTGCAGGGATGCTTGAGACGGGAACGTCGACACTTGAGACGGGGACGTCGGCACTTGCGGGGACACTTGAGACGGGGACGTCGGCACTTGCGGGGACACTTGAGACGGGGACTCACCTGCATCATCATTCGTGCCCTCTACAGGACCGCTGACGTGTGCAGAAGTTGTGCGAGGTATTTCTCATGAAAAACAAGCTGGCCCATTGTTGGGCCCAGGAGGGGTTTCTTCTTCACAGAGCAGCCCTACTTGTTTAGATGATTGTGCATCAGAATTAAGACCAGCTTCTCCTGGTTCAGAGTCTGAAAGTGACGTGAGAGCCCTTTGTCCAGAGTCACCTGTTCTTCAGTGTTCTGACTGTGTTGTAGAATTGTCAGGCAGCAGGTCAGTCACACCAGAACCTACGTTATCGGACTGGGAAGGCAGTGTGTTGTGTCTGGAAGCTCTTTTTAATGATGACCGGCCAGAGTCCCCACAATCGTTTGGATCTATTTAGCAG